GTGTCAACTGACCGCTTTCAGCCTTTTACAGTGCCCATTGCTGATATACATCAGTATGGCTAGAAAGCTGTGTGTAATCTCTGCCTTAGGCAGAGCTGTGGACCCTCAAGCAGTGTTAAAGGAACACTCCACTGCCCAAATACAAAATAAATTAAATTAATTGTTTAGTAGATATAGCTCCAATGAAAAATTGCATGCATTTAATTTTGCTTTTTTTTTATTATGGTAAATCTAAAAACAGCTTGCAAAGCCTACATTTCCCTTGTCTGCAGCCTTTGCAAGAACTCCCATTCTAACCCACTTTCTGGGGTTGTCCAATCACAGACTTCCCAATGCAACTTAATTTGCAAGACAGGTGCTCTGAACAATAGCTGTCTCTTGAGTTTTGTTCCACTGAGCTAATGAAACCAGGAAGTAGCAAGACCTGTTGTCAGCTTGAAAGCCAAGGGAGGTGTTACCAGGTTAGTTCATGACAAGAGCAATTTTCTGTTCAAATCTGCACTTTTTGCAAAATTAAAAAGAGGGCACACCCTTCACGCAAAAGCTTTTCATTTTTTAAAGCAAAAGGTGCTTTAGGAATCTGGAGTGGCCCTTTAACAAAAACAAAGCCAACATGGAGAAGTCATGGGTGAAACACAAGAGAAGTTTGTTCACTATACCAAGAATTTGGAATTACACACAGCATACTGAAACACTACAACACACATGTGTATACAATATTTACATTGTATACAAGCAGTCCCCTTTACTGACTGAGGCAAACTAAACTTGATGAAAAAATAAAATAAGTATAGAGCAGACCTATTGCAATAACTGAATAAGGCTAGCAGGCCATACTTGTATTCCTAATGTTATAGTGTTCCATTAATTAAGCAATTCCCTTGTGCATTGTCAGCTTTAGGTATATGTTTTATTTTTTTTATTTTTTTTTATGTTTTGTGACATTTTCTGTATTTTGAAAGTATTTCACTTGTTATTTTGTAATTGTTAAATATTTATCATGCAAGGTGCCTGAAGGTTATCTGTGTGTGTTTAGAATTGCACTTTAAACGCATTGGCTGCCAAACAACTGCAAGATGTAATGTTTAAATGTATTTTCCTTTCAGCGTGCATAGTTAACACAGTATTTGAGGGAAACAAATAGGTGGAGAGGGAAATTTTTTAAAATATAACTTACTGAATAATGAAGCAGACTTAGAGCTGCAATGTAAACATTGTTTTACATTGCAGCACTAATTGCAAAAGGGACACTGCACCCTGACCATTTCAGTAAGCTAAAGTGTGGGTGCCTATAGTGTCCCTTTAATAATCACTGCCTTTTAATTGTGTAATCTACTGGTACAATCTAAATATCTTTTGCTCTCAAATTCCTTATCCTTATAGTTTTGGAACCACTTTTGGCTTCATTTATATACCCATGCAAAGGAAGTCTTATAGATCACTTTTCCATCAATAGATGTAAATACATGGGAAATGTATCATCCTTTAAATCTTTCAATTGTTCTATTGATTTATGAGACTGCTCCTAGTTTCAAATGGTATTCGACTATCATGAATTTTTTAATCCATTAACTAATAAAGTTTATGTAAGTTTTATTGGTGAAGGTTTAGAACTTTTGCTTTCCTTAAAGGAATTATTGTTGTTTTGTCTGGAGTATTTTATGCTCAATGTAGGTTTACCCCCTTGTTACCCTCACTAGATGACTCTATCAGAACCCCTATTACATAAGGGGATTCTTGTATAAATATTTTTTTTTTCTCTGAGAATATCCCTATGTTGTGAGGATTTGGGTTTCTTTCTACTATATTGTTGTTTGTTTTATTTATTTTTATGTCTGCTTGCCTACTTTATTTATTTAGTTAAACATTTTTTAAAAATTTCTTTATTTGTGCCCAGCTCACAAGTGCGAGAGGGCTTACAAAAGTAATAATATTCAAATTAAACATCACAGTATACATGCTACAGTGCTTTCCGTCTCAGGTTAATATTGCCTGTGAGTAGGGGGTTTGATTTTTAAATTGTCGTGGGTTATTTTGAGTGGGGTAAAATAGGCTCATAGGCGTAAATAGCGAAAACCTGAAATAGATTAGCAATATCTAGGTATTCTTGCATAAAACATTTACCTTATGCCAGTGGTGAAGCCGCATAGGTAGCATATTATACTCTGGGCTCTAGGCCTAATGCTATACTCTGATATACCTCAGGGGGTGCCCTTGTGTGTTATTAGGGCATAAAATGACTGTGGATAGCACCTGGTATGTACTGGCACAAGTCATAAAAACATATATAAGGGTTTTTAACTAAAAGCAAAAATAAAACCAACTTCTAGCCGCTAGCATATATAGTCTTAATGAATGAGGCAGTCGGTATTGGGTTAAGAGTCCCATAATGTGAGGCAGAGAATGCCATCAAAATTTTCTAGGCTCCGCTGAGAAAAGATTAAAATTACGGATTCCAAAAATAACATTAATGAACTTTAAACCACAAAAGGTAGATGACCTTACGACTGTAGAGGACATAGTGGGGCTGAGAGTCCATTGATTCAGGTTGTGGCTGCCGAATAGGCATCAGGCATCCCTCCTTGAGGCACAACTGGCGTAATCTTTGCTGGATCCCAACTGTGTGCGGTTTTGTCTTTTTCTGGGAGTTTGTGGAGAGTTAGAGAGTCCTCTGGTAGGCCCAGTGGTTTCAGCAACGCGGCAGCTACCTTCAGGTCTGTAATTGAGTGGACCATATTGTTATGCAGGATTTGCAGAGCCCTTAACGAGCGCCAGTGGTATCATATATTATTATTCCTTAGGTAGCGCCATGAAGGGTTGTAGCGACTGTCTTCATTGCAGGGTATCCCCTGACAGGTCAACGTAAAAGGAAAGGGTCATGTTTTCAAAATGATATGGTGTAATCCTCTTGAGGGCCGAAAAAACTGTTGCTTTATCCACGTAGGTACAGAATCTCACCACAAGGTCCCCGGAAGCCACTGCTGGAGCTCTCCAGGGTTTAGGGACTCTGAAGACTGTGTCAAATGTTGTATTCCTGGCTTGTTTGGGTGCAAGTAGGGCTCCGATGAGGCTCTGCATCACGTGCGGGAGTTCCTCTGCTGGGACATCCTTGGTGACATCTCGGGTTTTTATGTTGTTGTGACGTCTGAGGTCTTCAAGCACCGCAACACGCAAGGTCAGCTGTTGCTTTTTCAGCGCCTGCAGCTCCGTTTGGAGTTCTACTATGGCTTGGGGCCTGTTTTTGTGAGGAGGCCTCCACCATCCTAATGTGGCCGACCAGGCCCGTAAGGTCCGAACGAAGCTGGGCTAGGTCAGCCTGGATTACCTTTTTTTAAGTCAACCAGCATCTCTGTGGTGACTGGTTCGGACTGGTTCCCAACTCTATGAATCTGCTGTGTCAGCGGGGCAAACATACCGCTGGTGCAGTCATCCAGGCTCAGATCCTTCGAGGAGTCTGTGTAGTCTTCCAGGCCAGCAGCCATTTTGGGTCAAAGAGCGCCTTGTGCTTGGTGGATCAAATCGACAAAATTCACTCCTTGTTTGGCTTTATCTGGCTTATGTTTTTTTTTGTTTTTTGTCCCACAGCCCCAGTAGGTTTGTGGGGTATGATCAGGAATCGCTGATTTTGTCGGTATGGAAGCAGAGCTGATCTAGTATGCTTCTGTCTAGGTCTGCTGCCAGGCCCTGCCCCCCCAACTATTTCCTGAAGTGATTGGGGGTGTAGTGTTTTGGAAGGACACATACTAAAGTGGTAGCAGCTGTACAAAAGGTGAACATTTATATCACTGAGCACCTATTTTCATGGATATATTGTTTTTTTCCCAAATATCATCAACATTGTCAAAAAGAATACTTCCCAAAAACACTATTGGGTACCAAATGTTTTTTTTTGCTTTGGTCCTTTTTTATTTTTAATAATAAAGTTTGGATGTAATATATTTTTTGGCCTTTTTTTTTTTTTTTTTTTTTTTATGGACCGAAGAGAAGAAGATTTTAGAAGAAAGACTTCCGAAGGTAAATATTTTTTTCCACACAGGTTTTTCTTTTTTAAATTTAATAACACTCACCCACTGGTAGGGAAAGAATGGTGGACAGGGATGTGTTCTATTCATTATTTATTTCAAAGCCACCACCAGAAGCCCACATGATGAGGTCATTCTAGCGACTACCCACGCAAAGGCGGCAAACAGTTGTCCAGAGCACCTCCTTGCAAAGACTTTTCATTGAACTACAATGGGAAGTTGGTGATTGGGACGCCACAGACAATCTGTGCTGGGAAAGAAGGGGAGGGTTTGAAAAGGCTTCAAACAAGCTGTAAGCTTTTGCAAGCAATGTTGTTGTTATATAATCCCAATGAAAACAATGTATAATTAAATGCAGACATGTTTTCATTGGGGGTATATCTACTATATAGTATTTATTGTTGTATTTTTGCAGTGAAGTGTCACTTTAAGTGTTTTTGTATATCGCTTCATTATATGTCACTAGAACATAATTTGGGGGAATGCATAAAACTTTTTTAGGAAATCTTGATACTTCACACAGTTTGTTTAATTAAAAAAAAAAAATTACAGGATATTCACTAAAGTGAGAATTGACTGGAATTCAAAGTGAATTTTAACGCCAAAATAGCCAAACTAATAAACAGAATTTTCTTGGAGAACCGTTGGTTTTGAGCTATTTTGATCACAATTTTTAAAATCACTTTGAAATCACTTTAGTAAGTTCCCTCTTTAGTGAATATCCCTGTTCGTAAAAAATAAAATGTACATTACTCACTTATCGTATGGTGAGTTACCAATCCAAAGGCTTACCTCCTTGACTATAAGTAATCTGTGGGTTTCTTTACCAGTCACAGGATCTCGTCTATTTGTGGCAATCACAAACCACTTTCAAATATCGGTTACCACACTTTTATAAATATAATTTAGATTTGCAAGTACACAAATGTTCTTTATTGGGAAATATATATATATATATAAACAATAGTAAAACAGGTACTTTGGTAAGCAAAAATCTTAATTGTATTAATTATTATTGGGAAAAGGGGGTTGGACCTCCATAACTCGGGAGAGTAACACTAAAGTGTTAGGAAAACAGGTTTGCATTCCTAATGTTTAAGTGTTCCTTTGTATTAGTTAAGGGCTCCAGAAGAAAATTTTTGCATACCTGGGGAAGAGGAGGCAGCAGGAAGCACTATGGGACGAAGGCAGGCTACAGAGGCTGCCTTATGTTTTTATGAGAGAGTCCGGCCAGTGTCCGGTTTGGACTGAAGTCTTGCAAAATAAGAGTAGCTGCACTCTTGCATGTATAAAGCGTGCATGTCCCTTGTATAAACTAGTTGGGTAAACCCCTTTTTTGTATGATTATGATAGCTAAGGTGGTTTCTACGTTTTGTCAGAAGCCTCATCCACGAATGGACACATTGTGTGGAATCTTTCTTGATCAACCCGAGACACCTGGCAAAAGCAACTATGGGGCTTCCCAATTGTGATTTATGTTAGTGCGGATGTAAGAAAGGAGAGAAACACTATAAAAAAAATAGAAAAATTATTTACAGGCAGATATGACACCTCTTCGTTTGTCTAGCTCTATCTATTTTTGTTGATAGTCCTCTACTCATACATTCTGTTCAATCAGTATTGGACGAATACAATCTGGGTTTCTGGCATTATATATACAAGTTGCTACAATTATACTGCAACACTGAATCGTTCCTTTAATTGTAAGAAGTTTCCAGTGACTTGCCCAAGTCTACCTATTGGCCAATACTTCTAGCTAGACATTCTGTTTTTGTCTTAGTCTGTCTGGGTTGACACTTAATTTGTGTCAATCAGTTTTATAAGTGTTTTACTTCACTTATTATCTCTCCTTTAATCCCTGTATATACATATGGATTTCTGAGAGTTATTTTCTTTTTCTTTTCACACATTAATTATTGATTTTTCACAATTAAAAGTTATGTCTTAATGATCTACTTTTAGGACAGTGTTCTCGATCAGGGTTAACCACTCTGCTGCCCTATAGATTTTTTTTCTATATTAGGCCTTCACTTCTTGCTTTTTTCATGTTAGTGTGGATGTAGTTCTACAATTGAGTAATCATAATGTATTACTTAATTCTTGTAATTAGAAAGCATATACTATATTATCCATAATAACGTATTATAAATATTATGCTGTTCTGTCCTTTAAGAAAGTAACTTGTATTATTTAACCTACTCAATTGATGTTATCTTCTGCATTCTTCAACCGTATGAAATGGAAGCAAAGCAGGGACCATATGTCTTTTATTGCATTAGATCTGTAATATGCAAAATCTAATAGTGTTATAATAATTATTTTAATGCAGAATCATTGCTTCACATTGATTGGCTCCAAAAAGGAAACTGGTTACATCTAAAGAGTAAATGATACAATGTCAGCTGAGGAGCTGCTAGTTTGCAGAAAAACAACGATGAAAAAAAGTTATTTTTAATATTTCACAAAGCCATTTATACAACTGCAAAGCATTGATGAAAATGTAAAAAGTGCATGTAAAATATAAGGGGTCATATGTAACGTGTGCAACAACTTTAAAACTCTGGTACTAATGTTTTAAGAAATATGTAATTATTTTTAAAATCTTGATTCCCTTAGAAGTGACCTAATTATTGACATAAGTATTCGATTCATCTCTGGTGAAGGCAGTAGAATCAGCAGCAGTCGTATTATCGCCAACATTTACCACTGGGGTTTGATAAATATTTTCTTTCTAAAATGAAAGACAAATACAATTATGTTAGTGGCAACATAGTCTATAAGTTATTAAGTAAAATCATTCACATTTTCAACATTTTGCAAGAATTGATTATTTTATAAAAATATTCACTTTTAAAATCTCCTGCAATAATTCATATTTGAAGGAGCTTTCTAAGCACCGTAACCAGTGCATCTCAGTGTAGTGGTTATGTAACGTTAATTTGGAGCTTCACTGTCAAACCATATGGGATAGGTTTGCCAAACATTCATGGCACCCAGAGACTGCCCCTTTCTTGTGTGCATTGATAATGTAAAACTATATAATTCAGCTTCATCAATACCACTTTCAGCTGAGTGCTCTGTGCTGGGGTTAGCCCAGCACTCGTATTCTTTAGTTGGGAGCCAGTGATGTCAGGTTGGCCCTGTTTGCTACTTTGCCAGCCTTCCAGTCTTGTTAGTGACATCATTCCAACTATAACATCTGTTCTCCCAAAACCTGGATTTATGAATCTCTTACAACAGAAATAAAACCTCAAAGTGAGATCAGAGTCATACCTAGGTTACTCGACAACCAGGGCAAAACTTTGTTAGTGTCCCCTGCAAAAATAATTTTTTGTGTGTGTTTATCTGCAAACCTCTCTACCTGTGTGTATCTCTTGACCGTCCTTATGTGTTTTTTTTTCTAATCACCCTTTATCTCCTTGTTTTGTTTTTTAACCTCAGAGTCTCTTAAATTCATTTTACAACCTTGTGTGTCTTAACCTTGTTTACCCATGTATGTCTCTTACCCACTTTTTGTGTCTTTTACACCCCTTTTGTCTTACTTCCTCTTTTGCGTATCTTACTCCTATTTTCCCAGTTTCTGCCTTTCTTGTGTATCTTACCCTCTCTTTTTACTCTTTAGTCCCTCTTATCCCCCACCTAGGTCTCCTTTGCCCCTTTTGTGATTTTTACTACCATTTTGTATCTTATCTATAGTCCTTTGGTATTTTGACCCGGCTATTCCCTGACTATTCTGTTTTTCTGGATTCCTTGAACCGGTTTTGGATTTTGTTATTGTGATTTCTGGCTCCCCTTGACCTCGACTTGTTCTGACATTCCTATTTAAATAATTATTGAAAATAGTTTAGCCTGACCGATCTAAAGACCAGTATAGGTACTTTCTCTGTCCCTCTTTGGTGGGTTTATATTCTGCGTATTTGGGTCGTATAACAGTGACACTTTCTCTGTATTGTACTCCCAACTCTTTTGTTTCTCTTACATTATTGTATAGTGACCTTGCTGACTGCAAAAGGATAACTTCTTTATCCTATATCCGGTCTGATAGAAGCTGCCCATTCAGCTTTTTTACGAAGGATAGAGAATAAAGAAAACGATGTATGTGAACAAAGAAAACAATGTCCATGAGGCAACACCACAAAGAGTGACCGGCAAGAGAGTAGAATCTCTGTGCACCAATAAGAGTGGCCTTGTATGGCTGAACTTAGGTCAGTAAAAGGTCCTTCCGACAGCAAGAGACATGGTGGCAGGTGCCCAGTGGGACCTAATAACTTGTCAAATCATTCTTAAATGGTATGTAGAGTGCATATGTCTGCGTATGGCATTTGTTTGTTGGATACCAGAATTTGCTGAGTAGCAAGTAACTTCAATGTGATTTTTACACCCATCAATATATACTAAATAAATTTGTGTCCACTGACTTATATTTGTAATTCATTTCAACAGCCACGTGCTGATTGCAAGTAGAGAAGGAGAGTTTTGCCTTCTTTCTACTGAATAAGCCATGTGACTACAAAATAAATCTGACTTTGCAATATTGCTCTTTAATTCCATCCCCGTGAAACAAATCTTTATTCTTTTAACTTACCGTTTCATTATTTGATGTTCCACACACGGTTTTACATCCAAAAACAGATGTGGATATTGTGATACAAAACTCTGTTACTGTCATTATGAAAATTATTATCACCATTCCCATATTTACTCTCATCTGCAATGAAAAAGAAATTATTAGAATCAAAGATATCTCTATCTTTGTCCCACCCTTTAACTACATATTAATAAAAGAAAGAGAGAGACAGTGAAAAAAGAGTATGTATTTGGCTATCCATTTATCACTGGAAGAATATTTCCACTTGATAACTACCATATAGCCGCTCAATCCACCTACAGAGAATTTCACTCCCTATTAACCTACTAGTATTTTGATCGTTTTAACTGTGTACCCATGACTTTCAAGTCCCATTGTTTATGACTATATTCTAATAAGGTTATATTTTTTTCACATTTTCATTCAGGGACTTGTTTAGTCTAATGCTCTTACCTGTTGGAGTATTAGATTTCAGAAGGTTTGTGTTTCAAATTTGTGGCTTACCTTAAGGTTACAAGTCCTTATTACATGACTTGAGGTCCCCCTAGTGGCGACTATTTTTAGTGTATTAAGATTAACTACTATCCACTACTGTAATACCGCAATACCCCCATATTTGCAAGATTTTTAAGAATTTATGGGGTTTAGATTACAGATGTGCGCATTTCAGATTTCTGATTTTGACCAATTTGACTTATTGGGCCTATTTCGCTTTTGGAAAATAATATCAAGAATCACCTGTACTCTACCCCAATCATGGTACATTATTAGCAAAAGAAGACACGTTGGGTTATTAAATTTTAAGTATTTTCGTTGGCCATATTAAGGCTGGACTAGCTACCTATGATGACCTATATGAAGGGTATCTGATCACTGTGGCATGGTGCCACAGTCACTGGAACTTTTAGGGCACTGTGAGGGGGGTAATTGGATGTCACAAACTGTAACAGTTGTATGAGCGGTGAGATAGTCAAATGAGGTTAAAACATCACATTTAAAGTTTTTTCTTTGCTAAAACAGATTTATGCTATTCACATTTAAATACGCTATATCAAGTTAACTTAAATTAAAAGTATGAATGGCATCTTTGCATTATATATTTGAAACACTCAGTGACACTTATTGAGGATTAAAAAAAGAAAATGGGCTGGGACCCCGGTGTCTAAAACCCTTACCATGCTTCTGTATCCCATGTTTTGAGGGAGTGACGGAACTATTATGTCCTTGTCCCCATGCTTTTTCAGGCCCCCCCCCCTCCCTGGCTCAATAAAACTGTAAAAAAATAAAATGTTACTTACCTTTTCTCAGTGCTGAGGCTAATGCTACACTGTTCACCTCTCCTCCCCCATGGATGTCACAGAAAATGCATGGCCTCGTCCGTTATGGCCAAGTCCAATGCCACTAATAGAAGAGTATTGGGGACCTAAAACACTTGTTTTTAAATATTGGAGTTTTTCAAAAACTAAAATGCTTTACATTGCACTGTGAAGAGAACAGGGACACTGTACTTCAGTGAGATGAAGTGGTCTGGGTGACGATAGTGTTCCTTTAGTCTGTCTGATGCTCACATTTATTACTTTCCTATATCCAAATATAAATGGGAGGGGAAAAGAAAAGCCTCCCTTTCTTTTCTATTACAAGAACTCTATCTATCTATCTATCTATCTATCTATCTATCTATCATAGAGCGTTTATTTACCTCAACGTCACAAAGATGTGATGCAGAATCATCAGAACAGGTGTATGGACCTTCGTACCAATCTAGAGACAATGTAATCCAAAGCAATATAATTGCAATAGCTGCAACAACTGAGCTTATGATGTTCAGAACCAAGTTTGATTTCACCTAAAATATAATAAATTAGAAGTGACTTATTTGCAATGATTTTTTATTTTATTTTTACATCACTTGTTCTGGTATGAAGTAACTACTGTTATATAGTAAACATATTATCCCCCTTTTCCTGTGCTAATCTATGCTTTAGGATAAGAATTAACACAGTAACAATAAATAAATTAAAATTAAAATCTTGACATGGTTAGACCCCTCTCCTTCAATAGTTTCATTAATAATACATTTTTGTAATTTAAACTCTCAGTGCTGCAGTTAATAGTTAAAAAGCAATAAAATTATACAAAAAATATTCTGGGGACTCCAAATATCACTATAAAAACACAATTTAGATATTTTTCCTACTAACATTAACCAAACAACCCAGCAAGGATCTTCTGTATAGTCCACCCACAAACTAAGACAGTCCCTACTTTGTTTGTAAGCATCAAGCATTCAATGTCTAAGCCAGAAGTAGGCAACTTTTTGTTAGTCCTGTGCCCAGGTAAAGTCTCTATTTAATAAGGAAATGTTTATGCATGTTACGGAATTTATGATCCTATATGTGGACTGTGCGTAATAGTGTGTATGTTTGTGGGCTATATGCATAGTGTGTGTGTGTGCCTTTTGTATGTGTATGGGATGTCTGCGGTGTTATGAAAGTGTATATGGGGTAGGGGTTTGCGGCAGTGCATGCATGTGTGTGGGATGTTTGTGGGGTTGTGTGTGTGTGTGTGTGGGCTCTTTGTGGTTTTGTGTATTATAGGTTGTCTGTTATCGTATGTATGTGCACTGTTTGTGGTATTTCATGTATGTGCACTGTTTGTGGTGAAGCTTCATTAATCCCGAATGGTCTGATGGTTGTAGAATATATAATATATATAATGAACTATCAGTGGGGGAATGGTTATATAACTCTTACTAATATGAGGGCTAATTACGCTGCAGGTCGGGGTATGATGCTAGAAAAAGTCCCATGCTACACACCTCCCTATGTGCCTGCACCCACAGACGTTAAGGAGGAGACTATATTTAAAAGAAGAAAAACTACCACAACAAGAGGACATAGTCTTAAATTAGAGGGACAAAGGTTTAAAAATAATATCAGGAAGTATTACTTTACTGAGAGGGTAGTGGATGCATGGAATAGCCTTCCAGCTGAAGTGGTAGAGGTTAACACAGTAAAGGAGTTTAAGCATGCGTGGGATAGGCATAAGGCTATCCTAACTATAAGATAAGACTAGGGACTAATGAAAGTATTTAGAAAATTGGGCAGACTAGATGGGCCGAATGGTTCTTATCTGCCGTCACATTCTATGTTTCTATGTTTCTATAAAACATGTAATGGCGGGTGGACAGATCACTGGAACTTACATTTTTTGGGTGGCCCTAAATTTAATAACAAAGGGGCAGGACCCGGTATTTTAATTGCTTTTTTGCCATCTGGCTGCACAGTGGTTTTCACAAGTTAGTAAATATGCCCCAAATGCCACATAGCCACATTTATTTATTTATTTAATTAATTATTTAATTATTTTAGGAGATTTAGACTAAGGCAAGGGAGAGGGTTTTTTTGTTTTTTTTTGAGGAAGAACAATATGGAATGTGAATGTGTAAATCTCTGTTTAAAGTACTTCAGATTTTAGTTTAATTTAAATGACATATAACAGAGGACTCAAGATCAAATCTAATTGCATATTTTTCCAAGTGTAACAATTGTACTTTATAAAAACCAAACCTATAATGAAACAAAACAGAACAAAAGCAAAACAAAACCAATTGTAGCTGGAGTGATAGAATTGAAATGTTCTGCCTATTTTGTTTTTCAAGTTACATATTTTCTTGCATTACACAATCTGAGTTTGCATTGATTTTTACAGACACAAGCAGGAAGCTTGAATAGATACAATTATTTCTCAACATATTGCAACACCGTGCATTCTTGGGTTATTAGCTACTGTAGCATTTTTCAGGGTAGCCATGAGAAACTGGGAAACGTGGCAAAAATGTAATGTTTTCCCATATTCAGCTTTTATGTAACACGATTATACATCAACACGTTCTATATATATCATAGTCAGTGGCGTAAGTAAAGGAGTGAGTGCCTTGGTGCAAAAAAAAAAAAAAAAATGTCAGATGCCCCTATAGAGCAGACGTGGCCAAAATGCAGAAGCACATCTGCTGTATACCTCCCACCACTTGTACTGCTAAGGTGTGCTTGCATGTACGCGCACACACCTTTTCGAGGGAGAACACACAGATATCCATCCCATGTAAAAAAAAATTTAAAAAATAAAGTAAAACTGTTTGGATGCTGCTGGAGCAGCCGATCTTTATGGGGGGAGGGTGTCACAGAGCACAAGAACTCCTCCCAAGAACTGCTTCTTCTCTGTAGTGAGTGGCGTCTCTGACATCACAATCTCACAACATCAGTAACGGCTCATGAGGAGCTGGCATTCAGCACTCAGCAGTGCAGACGTGTGGTGGTGGTTACCACCCACTTGCCACTTACCAATCTAGAGACCAGTCGGAACTTAGAGTTGAACTATGACTGTGATGAGTGGACACAGTTTTGCGCAGCTGCCACATGATGTCCCCGTAAAACCTCCATGGGATATCTCTGTGTAGCAGGCGTGGTTTCCTTGAGGAGCAGGTGGATAACCAATCAGCATCATGGTCTGTCACGTGTACTCAAATAAAAGGAATTGTTACAGACGCCACAAGTTGATTTTTCAGTCACAACTTTTACAGTGACTTTTGCAGCCGCGGTTCAAGACACAGAAGCCTCTACTGTTTCCTTGAGCCCCAACTCCCCCAATATGATCATCGTTAAAATGGTTTGTCTTGAAGAAAAATAAATCAATTTTCTTGGGTGGAAAGTGACAGTTCCCTTTTAACAGTTTTCATTATATTTATAACAAGTAGTATGTGGTCTTACCTTTCCTAATGTTGGTTTCACTGCAGCACTAACCGATATTGATCCAGATATAATATACTGTAAATATAAAATCCGACATTAACTTGTGATTTAGAAACAAACCAGATGGAAAAGTTTGTGAATGTCCGTACAATCTGTTCCTTAATTACATACAACAATTATTTATGTTTTTAACCAAAAAAGAGAAAATTAAATGTTCTATCCTTTTCATGTATGTTCTTGGATATATATATATCTAATTTAGCTCAATATTTCTTATGTAAGCAAGGATGGAGGAAAAGCTAAGCTTTTTCCGCCAGGTACAGCACCTGCAATGCCAAAATCTGAACTGTTCTACAGTCAATGCACGAAGTACCTGATTTCACCTGTGTGTCTAGATAGATAAGAAAAAACAAAAACAAATTTACATAATGAATGTCTCCTCACATATTGCCCTATGATATCCAATCAGCCTCCCTTAGTTAAGTTTGAGAATTTCTTTTTTTTAATCATTTTTTTTTCTTTTACTTAGAGGTTTTAAATAAAAATCATTCAAGAAGCCGAAATAGCAATTTTATGGTGATCCTTGATCATTTTTGAAATTTGCTCACAAGATGTACTTGTGTTTTTCTGTTTTTTTTTTAGAGAGTTTTTTTTTTTTATGGCTAGAACTGTTATTAATAAAGAGACCGATGTACCGGTAGAGAGAAAGTGTTTTCCAAAAAAATCAGACTGGTATTTTGATGATTAAAAATAACTAACTTTGTATTAATGATCAATAATTTAAAAGCTAAATATTGTAAACTCAAAAGCTATACGTGCATGGTCACTGCAATATCTAATTAAACCCGTCTCAGTTTATGTATGCATTTTTGGAATAGGAAAATATAAAGGCAATTCTTTTAAAATTAAAAACATACAGAAATTAAACCAGTTCTCATGTTTTAGCAATTTTAAAACAAGTCTAGTACAAGATGGGATGGCAATTAAAACTATAAGCTAAGGCATTCATTCAATGGAAGGTGTAGCATATCAATGTGTCAACCAAAAAGAAAAGTGAGGGGTGAGGGGAGAATTGAGGAAACAAGGAGCAGTAGGGAAGTATAACACAGCATAGATTTCACATATAACTACACAGAGTATAGATCGCATACAAGAAAAAATAAAAAGTTTAAAACACACTTTTGACCAACCAACAGTCACCAGTGAAAGAACACAACAAAAGAGGGGTAATAAAAACTGATAACAATTACCATTTTCTCTCAAAAATTTAAATACATCAAAGATTCCTCCAAATCTTCATAACACATAAAACACATATCAATATCTACAAAAAGAAAACACTAAAATAACGTAATACAGTTAGGTGTTAATCCCAGGATAAAATTCCGTATTGCACTCACAAACATAAATTGATAGTAGGCCTTAAGTTTCTCAAATTCAGGACTCTTTTTTTCCTTTTTTGTCGTTATTACATCCAAACCATATACATATGAGGAGAGAGGAAAAAGGAAAACCTCATAGAGGTGACACTACAATTATTGGTCTCACTTACAAGATATAAAACAATATGTGCATATCACTATATCCACTGGATCTCCAGAAACAAGCAATAAGATAACATATACCGGTATGTATCAATTAGAGATAAAAAACAGAACCTTATGTTTTATTATAAAATAAATAAAACCCTTAAAAACTAAACATCAGAAAGAGTGGGGATGGTGAGAAAAGTTTCAGAGCTCTTGGATCCAGATCAATTAATTGAATAATAATAATAATAAAAAAAAATCCGATAAATAAGAAGAATATAAAAAAGAAACATATACAAATAATTGTAGCGTTACTTACCTTAACCGGGGGCCGGTCGCGGTCCTCTCTTCAAGCCGCGCGCGGTCCTGCGGCTGCACGAGCCGCGCGCGGCTCATCCAACTACTTCGGATGGAGGGCGGGCAGTGACCGCGTGAGGCGGTCACGTGTCCCGCCTGAATCTAAGAGCGCGCCGCGAGTCTCGGGCGCGCTCTTAAAGGGACAGTGGGTGCCTAAATTGGAAAAGGCATCCCATTGGTCCCTGTCATGCCACACTCCCCATACACTTACCTTTTGGGGGCGTGGATATGACAGGGACCAATCAAATTAGATGTTTAGGTATTTATACTCACCTTCTTCCCTTTGTTCCTTGCCCTATCGTGGTTTCTGTTTCAGTTCCCTTTAGCGCTTGTAGTGTTCAGTTGTGTTTTCTCGTATTGACTTTGGCTTCGTATTCTGACTTCGTTTTCGCTTTATCCTTATCTGTACTGTTTGCCGGCTTGCTGTTTTCCGTGTACCAGACCCCGGCTTGTCCTAGTTTTCGCTGTCTCTCTGTGCCCTTGACCTCGGTTTGTTCCTGGCTCTGTCTTCTCTCATATACGTCAAGTCCGGCCATTCTAAGGTCCGGTAGACGTATCTCTCCTCTGTATTTGCCTCTGTTTAGCTGGATCCTGCGTGTAGGGGTATATTCTCGTTACATTACGATAGGGCCATGGACCCCGCAGATTTAGCTCAACAGATGGCGTCCCATGAGGCAAGATTTGTAGAGCAGGATCACCGTATGGATCAAATAGCTCAGGCTCTCCAGACGCTCCTAGCTAGAACCGTTCCAGCAACTACACCTAACCCTCCTACGCCCCTTCTCCCTGAAGTATCTACTTTGCCTAATACTTCGGCCCATTTAACACCTCCTCCTAGGTATGGAGGGGACTCTAAGACTTGCAGAGGGTTTATTAATCAGATTGAATTTCACTTTGAAATGTATCCACGTTCATTTCCCACAGAGAGGTCTAAGGTTGGGTTCTTTATGCACCAACTTACCGATAAGGCACTTGAGTGGGCAAATCCTATTTGGGAAGCTAATGGACCTATGGTACATGATTTCAACAGTTTTCTTACGGCTTTTCGTAGAACTTTTGACACAATGAAAAGGTCAAAGAATGCCGCGAGAGCATTAATGAGAATTAAACAGGGTTCTAGGTCTGTGGCTGATTATGCTATTCAGTTTCGCACTCTTGCTTCGCAGGTAGATTGGACCAACAATGGGTTAACTACTGCCTTTATGGAAGGTTTGTCAGATACGATATTGGATGAGGTAGCAGCTAAGGAGCTTCCTATTGCCTTAGAGGACCTTATCGATTACCTCATTGATATTGATAATAGAATTCGTGACAGGCTCTATACCAAGAACAGGAATAGACGTTTTGTTACACCCATTAACCCCAGAGTTAATATACCAGAGAGTGTTAAAGTGTCTGAGGAGGAACCTATGCAATTAGGGGTTGCCAAACTCTCTGATACTGAGAAATTACATAGGAGAAGGGAGGGACTCTGCCTATACTGTGGTAGGAGAGACCATATGGTAAAGGAATGTCCTTTACTCCCGGAAAACTCTCGCACCTAAGACCTTATAGGGGACTGGCCTTGGGTGTGATATCTAAGTCTCCTAAATTGCCTCCTAACCGCTTGCTTCTCCCGGTTTCTTTATATATGGGAGAGATTTGTATAGTTGACAACATATATGCTCTGGTTGACTCTGGGGCGGCTGAAAATTTTATAGACTCTGGCTTTATAAAGAGAAACAACATTCCCATCAGAGAGAAGGAGATACCCTTGGCCGTTGAGGCCATAGATGGTAGACCATTAAGTTCTCCAGTTGTTACTCATGAGACTGAACCACTACACATGTACACAGGGGTTTTACACTACGAAACCATTCGATTCCAGGTTATCACCTCTCCCTCTTCACAGTTAGTATTAGGGTATCCATGGTTACGTGCTCACAATCCCATTTTTGACTGGGAGACAGGGCAAATAAAATCATGGAGTAAGGCCTGCCACGAGTCTTGTACGTTGGAAGTCACACCTTTGAATTCTATTGAGGTACCTACCAGTCCTCCTTTGTCTATGGTTATACCCCCTCAGTATTTATCTCTAAAGACTGTTTTCGATAAAAGGGAGGCTGAGAAATTACCGCCTCACAGACCCTATGATTGCGCTATTGACTTGTTGCCTGGCACTATACCTCCAAAGGGCAGGGTGTACCCCTTATCGGTTCAAGAAAACCGTGTTATGGAGGAGTACATCAAGGAATCATTAGAAAAAGGGTTTATTAGGAGATCCTCTTCTCCAGCTGGAGCAGGGTTCTTCTTTGTATCGAAGAAAGAAGGTGATTTAAGACCGTGTATAGATTATAGAGGTCTAAACAAAATCACTATCAAAAATGCATACCCTATACCTTTGATTACAGAATTATTTGACAGGCTGAAACATGCCACTGTGTTCACTAAATTAGACCTTAGGAATGCATACAATTTGATACGTATAAAGGAAAATCACGAATGGAAGACTGCATTCAACACTAGATCCGGTCATTACGAATACACTGTTATGCCATTTGGGCTTTGCAATGCCCCAGCAGTATTCCAAGAATTTATTAATGATGTATTGAGAGATTTTATTCACACATTTGTTATCGTATACTTGGACGACATTTTAATATATTCTGCAGATATACACACTCATCACAGACATGTTACGACAGTTTTGAAGACCCTTCTTGCTAATGGTCTTTATTGCAAGCTAGAAAAATGTCTGTTTGACCAAACCGAAGTCCAGTTCTTGGGGTATTTGATTTCCGCTAAAGGTTTTCGTATGGATCCCCAGAAGCTTGCTGCTGTAATAGAATGGCCTCTACCGCAAGGTCTGAAAGCTATTCAGCGTTTTCTTGGGTTCTCCAATTATTATAGACGTTTTATCAAAGGTTTCTCGTCCATTGTAGCACCTATCACTCGTATGACTAAAAAGGATGGCAATACTCGTGTTTGGTCTACCGAGGCACTTCAGGCTTTTGAATTTCTTAAAACTACGTTCGCCTCTGCACCTATTTTACAGCATCCTGTCCCCTCACTGCCCTATATACTTGAAGTTGATGCTTCGGATATTGGGGTAGGTGCTGTCTTGTCCCAAAGAGAGTCGCCTGAGAAGCCATTGCATCCATGCGGCTTCTTTTCTAAACAAATGTCCAAAGCAGAGAAGAATTATGATGTGGGTAATCGTGAACTCCTTGCTATTATTTTAGCACTTAAAGAGTGGAGACATTTGTTAGAGGGAACTAAGGATCCTATCCTCATTTTTACGGATCACAAGAACCTATCCTATCTTAGCGAAGCCAAAAGATTGTCTTCCAGGCAGGCTAGGTGGTCACTATTTTTGTCTCGTTTCAATTTTATTATCACCTATAGGCCAGGTGATCGCAACACTAAAGCAGACGCTCTGTCCAGACAGTTCGAAACTACTGACAAACAGGAGATTGATGTTACTCCTGTCATTCCCCCAGACAGGATAATAGCTACTACTATTTTGTCTATTTCCTCGTCCCTCTTGCAGACCATACAAGCGAAACAAAGCATGGCACCTAGCGAGAGGCCTAATGATAAACTGTTCGTTGATGTTCCTGAGAGACGGGATATCATGTCATTATATCATGATACTAAGACCGCTGGACATCCTGGTATTTCCAAAACGGTGTCAGCTGTTTCTCGGTATTTTTGGTGGGATTCCTTACGAAAAGATGCCACCGACTATATAAGTGCTTGTACTACTTGTGCCTGTATGAAATCCTCCCGTAGAGTTCCTTGTGGGCTGTTGCATCCGTTACCCGTTCCCGAGAGACCTTGGTCTAACCTGTCCATGGATTTTATTGTTGAATTACCCCCTTCAAATGGTAACACAGTAATCCTGATGATAGTGGATCGGTTCTCCAAAATGGCTCACTTCGTGTCTCTTCACAAGTTGCCCACATCTAAGGAACTGGCTCATATCTTCGCTAGAGAAGTATTTAGATTACATGGGATTCCCGTATCTATTGTATCCGATAGGGGTAGCCAATTTATTTCCAGGTTCTGGAGGGCCTTTTGTTCAGAAATGGGTATTTCTCTCTCATTTTCTTCCGCTTATCATCCCCAGTCTAATGGGGCTGCTGAACGTGCCAACCAGTCTCTGGAGCAATACCTCCGTTGTTTTGTGTCTCACCATCAGGACAATTGGTCTGACCTGCTTCCTTGGGCTGAATTTGCTCGGAATAACGCCACTCATGATTCTTCCGGCAAGACCCCTTTTTACGTTGTCTATGGCCAGCATCCCGTTGTTCTTCCGGCTGCATTCTCCTCACAGGGCATGCCAGTTCTGGATGAGCATTTGGCTGGTTTGCGTAATACTTGGGAGCAGGTTCAGCGTTCTTTGGTGGACTCTGCTACTCGCCAGAAGGCTCAGGCTGACAAGCATCGCAGAGCAGCTCCGTCCTATGTTGTGGGGGACAGGGTTTTGCTTTCCACGCGGAATATTCGTCTCCGGGTGCCTTCTATGAAATTGGCTCCCCGCTTCATTGGACCTTATCGTATTATACATAAGGTTAATCCTGTTTCTTATGCCTTAGGCCTGCCTAAGAATCTACGTATTCCTAATGTTTTTCACACCTCATTGTTGAAACCTTTCGTACGCAACCGCTATACCCGGCATACTCCTCCTCCCCCTCCTATCTCGGTGGAGGGTCATGAGGAGTTTGAAGTGTCTGCTGTTCTTGACTCTCGTTTCCTTAGGGGTCGACTTCAGTACTTGGTACATTGGAAGGGTTATGGGCCTGAGGAGCACAGTTGGATTTCGGCCGATGCTGTCCATGCTCCCCGTCTTGTGCGCTCTTTCCATTCACGTTTTCCTGCCAGGCCTGGTCCTACCCGCCCGGGGGGCGTGTCCTCAGGGGGGGGTACTGTAGCGTTACTTACCTTAACCGGGGGCCGGTCGCGGTCCTCTCTTCAAGCCGCGCGCGGTCCTGCGGCTGCACGAGCCGCGCGCGGCTCATCCAACTACTTCGGATGGAGGGCGGGCAGTGACCGCGTGAGGCGGTCACGTGTCCCGCCTGAATCTAAGAGCGCGCCGCGAGTCTCGGGCGCGCTCTTAAAGGGACAGTGGGTGCCTAAATTGGAAAAGGCATCCCATTGGTCCCTGTCATGCCACACTCCCCATACACTTACCTTTTGGGGGCGTGGATATGACAGGGACCAATCAAATTAGATGTTTAGGTATTTATACTCACCTTCTTCCCTTTGTTCCTTGCCCTATCGTGGTTTCTGTTTCAGTTCCCTTTAGCGCTTGTGGTGTTCAGTTGTGTTTTCTCGTATTGACTTTGGCTTCGTATTCTGACTTCGTTTTCGCTTTATCCTTATCTGTACTGTTTGCCGGCTTGCTGTTTTCCGTGTACCAGACCCCGGCTTGTCCTAGTTTTCGCTGTCTCTCTGTGCCCTTGACCTCGGTTTTGTTCCTGGCTCTGTCTTCTCTCATATACGTCAAGTCCGGCCATTCTAAGGTCCGGTAGACGTATCTCTCCTCTGTATTTGCCTCTGTTTAGCTGGATCCTGCGTGTAGGGGTATATTCTCGTTACAATAATAAAACAAAAACAATATGTTAATAATAAAGTCATTGTTTTTATTCTATTATTTGTATATGCTTTTTTTTATATTCTTCTTATTTATCAGATTTATTTTATTTTAATTATTTTTCAATTAATTTTCATTTTGATAATTTTAGACCTTTTGGATTCTGGATCCAAGAGCTCTGAAACTTTTTTTTTTTTTTTACCATCCCCACTCTTTCTGATGTTTAGTTTTTAAGAGTTTTTTTTTTATTAATTTAATACAACATAAGGGTCTGTCTTCTGTCTTGAATTGATTCATATATATTGTCTTTAGACATGTGCAATTCGTTTTGTTCCAAATGTAAATTTGTATGAAATTTCCAAAGCGCCAAATAAGTGCCGGTGTGCTTCAGATTTCTGAAAAGTGGCAAAACAAGAGAGGGAGGGAATATTACGTGAATAATGACAGGAATCTAACCCTACCCCTAACCAAAGATGTGTAAGTAGTTGTGGTGGTTAGGGGTAGGGTTAAGGAATTGCAGAAGTCCTGAATTACCGAACCAAATGTATAAATGAAATGCACATGTGGAACGCAAGCATCAAGGACAGCAAATTAAGGAAGCAGAAGGATGAATTTGCGGAACGAAAGCGTCACGGAAGGAACAATGAAATTGAGGCTTGGACAGCATAATGAAGAACAGCTGTTGGGAAACGGACCTCGCTCTAGGATTGGCTGATGGCGCCCAGAGGGAGGGTTGTACCTGGCTATTTAAACTGTGGGTTTATATTGTAGAGATCTGTATTTCTTGATGACTGTATATTGATTCATTGACTGCCCCTGAGGAGGTCCATGCAATTGGACGAAACACGTAGGGCTATTTTGATATTTTGACTTTAATTGTTTTTACTGTTCGCTTCTTTAACCCCCTGGGAATCTTGTTGAGTGGAGATCCAGTGGATATGGTGCTATGCACATATTGTTTTATAAATTTTTAGTTATTTTTAATATATGGAAATCTACACCTTTTTTCCTTTCTCCCCATGTGTATATGGTTTGGATGTGAGAACAACGAAAAAAAGAGAGTCCTGAATTCGAGGAGCTTAAGGCCTACTATCAATTTATGTTTGTGAGTGCAATACAGAATTTTATCCTGGGACTGTATTACGCTATTTTAGTGTTTTTTTTCTTTTTGTAGATATTGATGTGTGTTTTATAAGAAAAAGAAAAAATACAGGTAAATAAAAAAAAGATGTTGAAGTCTTTATTTGGTGCACAGGGTCATAAAACCAAAGGAATGTATGAGTACAATCCCTTGGAAACCATATACAATCATATATGTACTCATGAATTTCCTTCATGTGCTTTTCTTAATTTTAAGGTTATAAGAGATCAAGTTCTCATGGGGTCAAAGATCCACCACCACATGAACCCATTACTGAAATAAAAGACAATGAAGTCACTTCTTGTTTTACTGATCTAGCCAAATTCAAAAGTCTCCCTACAATGGATTTCTGCGATGCTGATGACATCTGGTCCATTTAGTAAAAAATGCTTCATCACAGGAGTGGATGTAAAGAGATCTGAAATGCCAACACACATTTTATATTTTTAACTCTGTTCCTTTTTTAATGTTTGTCATATTCCATTATGTGTATAGAAATGCTATATGTACTTACTAACGGACAATATATTGGTTTATTTATGTGCATTATATGCTTTGTGTAGGGATGTATAGAGAATTAGCCAAAACTAATTAGCTAAAACTAAAATAAACAATGTAGCAATTTAACCCACACTTTAACACAGTCTCTCAATAATTCTCATTCGAACTGAAATAGGTGATATAAGAATTACTGAGAAACTGTGGTAAATTGTTGGTTAAGATGCTACATTTGTTAATTATTTTGTTTCAGCAGAGTAATATTTTATTGCTATTGGTTTTATAAATCAGTAGCATTGGAGATATGTGAAAATATCTGTAGCACTGGTCTTGTTGTATGATTTGCTATTAATAGTATTTGTAGGATTATCATTTGATAATATCAGCAGCTGATTTTACAAAATGTATATATCTCATAATTCTTCAGTATTGCTCTTTTGTATTGAGAATAGGTTTAGAACAGGCTTCCCCAAACTCCGGCCCTCCAGATGTTGCTGAACTACAAGTCCCATGATTCCCAGCTTATCTATTTCATTCAAAGAATCATGGGAGTTGTAGTTCAGCAACATCTGGAGGGCTGGAGTTTGGGGAAGCCTGGTTTAGAAGATATCCAGGAATCTGAAATGTTACTGTAATTTAATCAGCCAAAACATTAATACCCTTATAGAGAAACAAACTAAAGATAAAAAAGAAACATCATTATAAATATGCTTTAAAAATATGTGAGAAATGGCAGAAGTGCATATCCAATGTATCACTTTCAGATTTGTAGCAATTAAAAGTTAGAATCAGAAATAGAAATTAATTTTCTTACCATTACGCCAGACCAGAAAGGTAAACCGGTGAAAAACATAATGGAATTGTATGGTCGTGTATAAGGAAAATGAATCCTAAAAACAAGACCAAAAATAATGTGTAATGCTCCTAATAATATCTGCGTCACCTGTATGCAAAATAAAATAAAATATATATTCACAACGTGCATTTAAAAGGAGATAACAGCATAATTAATAATGTTATGTTTCTAAAGGACATTTGCTAATTCAGTGAAATGTTGGAAAAATACACATATAAGTCCCAAGTAGGTAATTTGGCTTTAACTTTGAAATTTACTTTGAAGTAATTTTGAATTCCCGACAGTTTTCACTTTAGTGAATAACGTTGATTAGAAATACCTCAATTGAATATGGTTTTTATAAGCCTTTCAAATGATTAAAACGTATTAGATAAACTCTCCAAATGATTAAAGTACAGAAGTCACCATTAAAGTATATGGGAATTTTTGTGGATTAATTTGAAAAGTTTTTTTATAACCGATCTGAATAATTTGAAATGAATATCCAAAAATATTTAATCCAAGCCTTGATTTAATTCATTTGAAAGAGAAATGACTCCGGACTCCTATAAAAAAAATATTTGCAACAAAAATGTCCTTAAAATTCATTGGTGACTTCTGTTAATGATTAATTTAAAAGGTTTTCGCTATCATTTCTGAATTAAACAATTATTTAATCTTTTTGATTAATATTTAAAATGATTTAATATGTTGAAAAATATTTTAATACTTTGATATTTTTAAATATATATATATATATATATATATATATACACACTGAACAAAATTATAAACACAACACTTTTGTTTTTGCCCCCATTTTTCATGAGCTGAACTCAAAGATCTAAGATTTTTTCTATGCACACAAAATACCTATTTCTCTCAAATATTGTTCACAAATCTGTCTAAAACTGTGTTAGTTAGCACTTCTCGTTTGCCGAGGTAATCCATCCATCTCACAGGTGTGGCATATCAAGATGCTGATTAGACAGCATGATTATTGCACAGGTGTGTCTTAGGTTGGCCACAACAAAAGGCAACTCTAAAATGTGCAGTTTTATTAAACAGCACAATGCCACAGATGTCACAAGTTTAAAGGGAGCGTGCAATTGGTATGCTGACTGCAGGAATGTTCACCAGAGCTGTTGCCCATGAATTGAATGTTCATTTCTCTACCATAAGCCGTCTCCAAAGGCATTTCAGAGAATTTGGCAGTACATCCAACCGCAGACCACGTGAAACCACACAAGCCCAGGAACTCCACATCCAGCATCTTCCGCATCCAGCAGGTTCTATTTCAACTGTCAAAAGTAAAGACAAATGAGTCAATAGGACCTGATGGAATACACCCAAAGTTATAAAAAGAGCTTGGTGGTGTACTAGCAAAACCATTAACAGATTTATTTAATCAATCATTGTTAACAGGAGTAGTCCCAGAAGATTGGAAGTTAGCGAATGTTGTGCCCATTTACAAGAAATGTAATAGGGAGGAGTCAGGCAACTATAGGCCAGTAAGCCTTACTTCAGTAGTGGGGAAAGTGATGGAAACCATGTTAAATGATAGGATTGTTGAACATCTAAAAACACATGGATTTCAAGATCAGAGACAACATGGGTTTACTTCAGGGAGATCATGCCAAACTAATCTTATTGATTTTTTTGATTGGGTAACTAAAATTATAGATCAGGGTGGCGCAGTAGACATTGCTTACCTAGATTTCAGTAAGGCTTTTGACACTGTTGCACATAGAAGGCTTATCAATAAACCGCAATCTTTAAGTTTGGATTCCAATATTGTTGAATGGGTAAGGCAGTGGCTGAGTGACAGGCAACAGAGGGTTGTAGTTAATGGAATATATTCGAAGCTTGGACTTGTCACCAGTGGGGTACCTCAGGGATCTGTACTTGGACCCATTCTCTTTAATATTTTATTAGTGATATTGCAGAAGGTCTTGATGGTAAGGTATGTCTTTTTGCTGATGATACTAAGATATGTAACAGGGTTGATGTTCCAGGAGGGATAAGCCAAATGGCAAATGATTTAGGTAAACTAGAAGAATGGTCAGAGTTGGGTAAACTGACATTTAATGTGGATAAGTGCAAGAGAATGCATCTTGGACGTAAAAACCCAAGGGCAGAGTTACGAATATTTGATAGAGTCCTAACCTCAACATCTGAGGAAAGGTATTTAGGGGTAATTATTTCTGATTACCCAACAGATAATGTAATAGAGCAGCAGGAAATGCTAGCAGAATGCTTTGTTTTATAGGGAGAGGTATAAAAGAGGGAAGTGCTCATGCCATTGTACAGAACACCGGTGAGACCTCACTTGGAGTATTGTACGCAGACCGTATCTCCAGAAGTATATTGATACTGTACAGAGAGTTCAGAGAAGGGCTACTAAACTGGTTCATGGATTGCAGGATAAAACTTACCAGTAAAGGCTAAAGGATCTTAACATGTATAGCTTGGAGGAAAGACGAGACAGGGGGGATATGATAGAAACATTTAAATACATAAAGGGAATCAACACAATAAAGGAGGAGACCATATTTAAAAGAAGAAAAACTACCACAACAAGAGGACATAGTCTTAAATTAGAGGGGCAAAGGTTTAAAAATAATATCAGGAAGTATTACTTTACTGAGAGGGTAGTGGATGCATGGAATAGCCTTCCAGCTGAAGTGGTAGAGGTTAACACAGTAAAGGAGTTTAAGCATAAGGCTATCCTAACTATAAGATAAGACCAGTTACTAATAAAAGTATTTAGAAAATTGGGCAGACTAGATGGGCCGAATGGTTCTTATCTGCTGTTACAGTCTATGTTTCTATGTTTCACCTCCAAGATCATCTGAGATCAGTCACCCGGACAGCTGCTGCAACAATGTATTTGTATAACCAAAGAATTTCTGCACAAACTGTCAGAAACCATCTCATCTGCATGCTCCTCGTTCTCATCTGGGTCTCAACCTGAGTTTGTCGTCGTAGTGACTTGAGTGGGCAAATGCTCACATTCGATGGTCCCTGGCACTTTGGAGAGGTTTTCTCTGCACGGATGAATCTTGGTTTTCATTGTACAGGGCAGATGGCAGACAGCATGTATGGCGTTGTGTGGGTGAACGGTTTGCTGATGTCAACTTATGGATTGAGTGGCCCATGGTGGGGTTATGGTATTGGCAGGCATATGTTATGGATAACTAACACATGTGCATTTTATTGATGGCATTTTGAATGCACAGAGAGAGTGTGACGAGATCCTGAGGCCCATTGTTGTGCCATTCATCCATGACCATCATCTCATGTTGCAGCATTATAATGTTACAAGGATCTGTACACAATTCCTGGAAGCTGAAAACATCCTAGTTCTTGCATGGCCAGCATACTCCCCGGACATGTCACCCATTGAACATGTTTGGAATGTTCTGCATCGGTGTATACAACAGTATGTTCCAGGTCCTGCCAATGTCCAGCAACTTTGTACAGCCATTGAAGAGGAGTGGACCAACATTACACAGGCCACAATCAACAACCTGACCAACTCTATGCGAAGGAGGTTTGTTGCACTGCGTGAGGCAAATGGTGGTCACACCAGATACTGACTGGTTTTCAGACCCCCCCCAACCCCTGGAACCCTCCAATACAGTATAACTGCACATTTTAGAGTGGCCATTTATTGTGGATAGCCTAAGGCACACCTTTGCAATAATCATGCTGTCTAATCAGCTTCTTGAAATGCCAAACCTGTGAGGTGGATGGATTATCTCCGCAAAGGAGAAGTGCTCACTAACACAGATTTTGACAGATTTGAGAACAATATTTGAGAGAAATAGGTCTTTTGTTTACATAAAAAAAGTCCTAGATCTTTGAGTTCAGCTCATAATAAAATGGGGGCAAAAACAAAAGTGTTGCGTTTATAATTTTGTTCACTGTATTTGAGTCTATCAAGCTAACCATGCAATAACCAGGCTATAGACAAAGACAATGACAGGGAGAAATAATACTTGAAGTATGGCATCACATGATGAGTGACAGTAACTCACTGATGCCAGAGGCCTAGAACAGAACTCTCTGCAGGTTAGTATAAGAGGAGGCAATTAGCTCCTCCATAACTAGCTCATTTCACTCTGTTGATCCAGTATTGCAGAGTGGGGGAAGTGAGCAGTGTTAAAAAATTGTCACACAAATGTCCAACAACAGTTCAAAGGATTGTGTAAGATTCGATGGAGTAGAATGGTTAGTAGAGGTTACTTTAGATGACTGTGCTATTTAACTCATGCATTTTAGGATTGACACTTCCAGCATTCTTTGGGATAAAGGGGAAAGATAAAATTGTAGTTCTGTGTCAAAGTACCATTAATTTCTAATTCATCTTCTGAAATGAAGTGTGAGTAGAGATCCTATGACCTAAGTAAGGACATTTTAGAATATTCCTTGTCTGATAGTGAACACCCAAGATCAAAGTCCATGCCCTGTCAGTGAAAAAGAATTGCTATCTTTTGTATGTAATAGATATCTACATCCACCAGTGATTGAATTAAAGGCATTGTTGAAATACATACATTATATTCTCAAAAACAAAAAACTAACTAACAAAAACAGAAACAATAACACAAGCTAAATCTTAAACTTGTCTATAAATGGGTTACCATGGATGTGGTATTATTGTATTCATGTATTATACACAACAAGTATAAGAGCACTGATGCTGATACACTGGTTGCTTTCACAACCTCTTTGCTCACTGTCATCCCCTTAAGAAATTGGCAGTAACAAAGCAGAACATTTTAGTAATCCATTATTGTTTTAGTTTACATACTTACACCAAGAGCTTTGGGTTTTCCTTTGTAGAACTTGATGAGATGCTTTGGAGTCATGTTGTATATATTTTTTATGGGATCTGATGACTCCTGCAAATTACCACTTTTATTAATCTTAGTAACATTTTCAAAGACTTCATTGTCTGATCGAATTCCAGGCATGATTTCCACCTAAATGAAAGAACGTGGAAGGGTCGTCAAAACCCATGTGAAAGTAGATTTGCTAGAATTACTTTTACTTATGTAAATGCTAATTGAAATGTTCACTAAATGTATTTTTTAAAATAGTTACATTTATTTATATTCATATATTACTTATAATTATAAGGCTAGTTAATACAATATGGTGATGTTACTACTGCAAAGGATTCTAAGTGGGCATTAGAAAATTAGTTTAAGGACCACGGACGTACCAGGTACGTCCGACAAAAAACGTCCCTTAAGGACCTCGGATGTACCTGGTATGTCCAAGGCTATTTTGAGCACTGGAAGCGATCGTGATCGCTTCCAGCTGCTCTGATGGTGTTACACGATGCCTCGATATCGAGGCTTTGTGTAATTACCCCCCCACACTGCTGGGGACCCGAGTGATCGCCTCCCCCCCGAGCGATCACTTCCGAGTTTGCTACACGTGGCGCCTGGCAGTGTAGGGAAGAGCATCTGAAGCCATCCGCAGGCTTAAGATGCTCTTACCTTTACTGAGTGCCTTGAGGGGTCGAGGCACTCAGTAATAGTTAAATAAAGAAATTACATAAAAATTAAATACATTTAATTTAAAAAAATTAACCCATACCCTCCCTCCCCCTTCCCCATGTACTTACCGATCGCCGCGTTCCCCCGCCGGCGATCGGACTTCTTCTTTGGGGGTACTCTCTGGACTGAGCCCAGAGAGTCCCCCTTCTCCAATTTAGGACCCCTAGGGGCCATGTGACCGCTCTAAAAGTTCAGGATAAAGTAATGCAGGTTAGTGCCTTTCAGTATGAGGAAATGAAGATGAGTACAGGATGAGGCACTGCAGGTAAGTTCTCTACAGAATGAAATAATGTAGATAAAATACAGGATATTACCAGGAACAGAGATTCTTTATCAGAGAATATACTTCATCCTGAATTTCATCTTACCGAAAGACTTTCCTTATCAGCTTCCAAGAATCCTGATTTATGGCATATTGCCTTCATTGAAGAATCTTAACTGCTTCACTTGCTGAATCACTGCATGATCTCGTGAGCAACCTGCATTATATTATTTTGGAATATACCTACCTGTTTCAACCTCTGCAACTCTGCATGATCCTGGATTGCTTTATCCTAAAAGGTATTTACCTATAACTAGCTGCATTGTAAAGTATCCTGGAATTCCTTATCTACTTGGTATAACTTCAAGCAAAGTGCTACTTGTATTTATAGCCCTATAACCTTTCAAAAAAAAGTTAAGAACATGTTAACATTGAGCATTTTTAAACTCAGGACAAAATTTAGAAATTATTTAGCATGGGTGTTTTTTGGCGGTTGTAGATGCGTAACAGATTTTGGGGTCAAAGTTAGAAAAAGTGTTTTATTTTTTAAATGTTTTTCATCATATTTTATAAAAAAATTTTATAGTAAATTATGATATGATGAAAATAATGATATCTTTAGAAAGACCATTTAATGGCGAGGAAAACAGTATATAATATGTGTGGATACAGTAAATGAGTAAGAGGAATATTACAGCTAAACACAAACGCCGCAGAAATGTAAAAACAGCACTGGTCCCAAACGGTAAGAAAATTTAAAAGTGGTTTGGTCACTAAGGGGTTAACAAACAATGTTAACCACTAAACTCACTTTTATTAATTTTTTATTGATTGATTTTTATTAATTATTGCTATGGAGGCTTGGTGGTGCTTGGGAAGTAAAAACCAAAAAGGTTATAATGGGGAAAGAATTGTGATTTTTTTTTTTTTCCCCACCATAACCTTTTTGTTTTTTGCTTCCCAAGCACCACCAAGCCTCAATAGCAAACCAGTAACCAACCTCATACTGTTGATTCACATTAACAATAAAACAGCGGTTCACTGGCTTTGTATCTATTCCCAATTATATTTCAAAGCTGTTGTATACAGCAAACAGACACAAAGGAATACATGTTAAAGAATAAGTTAAACAATAAGTTGATGAGAAGTTAGAAAGCCCCAGCAATATTAAAAAATAAACGGAAACGATCATTGTAGAAAGGGGGTTCCTGTAAATTTTGTAAAGTGTTTGGACAAAATTATGGTCTAAATAATTTCTTTACATCTGAAGAGGTAATTGCATGTCACTAATCAAGTGTAATTTATATGTTGGGATGGACATTTAATTTGCAATATATTGAGAAACCTAAAAAAAATTAATAAAAGTGAGTTTAGTAAACATGTAAGGATATAGATAAAAAGTTTGATAAAAACTCAAATCTCTGATTATTTTGCAAAATTTCATGATGAGAACTCTAATTTTTTTTTTAACTTACAGGGAATAACACTAGTTAAGAATAAGTGAATATGTTGGATGGTTTTGGGGGAGGAGCGAATGTTAGTCCACTAGTTAGACTGTCAGGAAATGATTTAGATTTGTTCCTTAGGAAAAACACTAATACATGGTAAAGATTGTTCAGAAATAAAAATCACTGGTGCTATCCTAAAGAGACATCCCTAATATGCCCAAAACAGGTACATACATGCAAAAGGATGTACACCAAAGAAGATATTCACATAAAATAGAATATTTATTCAGCAAATAACACAATATTAATATAAAATACTAAATATACCAAACAAAAACACACAGTGACAGAAGCTGTACAATTGAATTTCAATAACTTACACAAAACCTGTAAGAGCTGGACATGTGTAAACCTACAACCCCAACGTTTCCCCACTAAGAAATGTGCCTTTTTCAACACAGCAGCTCCCAACCTGCATCAGGTAAACTAAGTGTGCATTCAGCAGTCTGTGTGTTTGTGTGTATTCAGCAGTCTGTGTGTAGTCAGCAATCTGTGTGTGTGTGTGTGTGTGTAGTCAGCAGTCTCTGTGTGTGTATTTAGCAGGTTGTGTGTGTATTCATCTGGATGTGTATGTATTCAGCAGTCTCTGTATGTATTCTGCAATCTGTGTATGTGGATATAGTAGTCTGTGTCTGTGTATTTAGCAGTCTGTGTGTAGTCTGTGTGTGTGTGTATTCAGCAGTATATGTGTGTATTTAGCAGTGTGTGTGTGTATTCAGCAGTATCTGTGTGTATTTACCAGTGTGTGTGTGTATTCAGCAGTCGTCTGTGTGTACTCGGCAGTCTGTGTGTGTATTTAGTGTGTCTCTATTTAGCAGTCTGTGTGTGTGTGTCTTTTCAGCACTATGTGTGTACTCAGCAGTCTCTGTGTGTGTATTTATTCAGCAGTCTGTGTGTTTGTTTTCAGCAGTCTGTCTGTGTATTTAGAAGTCTGTGTGTGCGTGTATTCAGCAGTTTGTATGTGTATTTAGCAAACGGAGTCTATGCATTAAGCAGTCTGTGTGTGTATGTATCCAGCAGTGTATATTTGCGTATTCAGCAGTCAGTGTGTATGTGTGCATTCGGAAGTCTGTTCATGTATTCATCTCTGTGTGGGTATTCAGCAATTTTGGGCACCTGTTCTTAAGACGGATATTATTACATTTTAAGAAGAAAGTTAACAAATTTAAACCTCTTTAGTTTAGAAAAATGTTGCCTCATAGGGTATATGATAACATTCTGCAAATATATCTGGGACCAATACAAACCATTGTGTGAAAATCTATTCACAAACAAGACTTTACATAGGACACAAGGTCATACGTTTAGACTGGAAGAAAGAAGATTTAGTCTAAGGCAAAGGAAAGGTTATTTTACCATAAGAACAATAAGGATATGGAATTCTCTGCTTGAAGAAGTGGTTTTATCAGAGTCCGCACAGATGCTTAAACAGCAACTAGATGCATACTTGCAAAAACAGAATATTCAAGTATATAATTTTTAATGTAGGGTAGTAGCTTCTTGATCAAATGAAAAAATCTGACTGCCATTCTGGGGTCAAGAGGGAATTTTTTCCCTAGTTTGTTGCATAATTTGAAGTGCTTCAAACTGTTTTTTTTTTCTTTTGTTTTTCTTTGCCTTCTTTTGGATCAACAGCAAAAACAAATGTGAGGAAGGCTGAGCTTGATGGACACATGTCTCTTTTCAGCCTATGTAACTATGTAAATATGTATTCAGCAGTGTGTGTGTGTGTGTGTATGTGTATAGGCACTGCCTGCACAGCTTCCTCATGCACCATGTACTGATGCCCAGGGGTTGTATGTGATGGCAGCCTAGCATCATCATGGAGATTCAGGAAGCTGTGCATTTAGTGCACAACAAAATCACAGTTGTTATAGTACGTAACAAATCTCTTGAACTTAATACAATTTGCTTATACTGTTGCAATGGCTACGAGCTTTGGCATTTTACAAAAAGGAAATTCAAACAACGGAAGAAGATTCTTCACTGAGGGAGCCTTTCCTGCAATCTTTTGAACGTCTCTTTTTGGAAAAACTGCATAGATTTCCACCATTTCCTCTGCTTTGAATAACTCCCTTAATACTGTATTTACTCGATTGTTACTTGATTTGTAGATATGGCACTCGCCTCCTCTGAATTTGTTTGTATGTACATCTTTTATATATTTAGTTTTTTTAGCTGTATGGTTTAGTGGTCGAAGTTGTTGGTGCCTTCACAGTTTTGACTGTTGTGTCTGTGCCCCCCTATATTTCAATCCTAGAGTTGTCACTGCAAAAGAATAGGCATATCTGGGTGGCATAGAAAGAGACACTAATGGTGTAGCATAGAAAGAGAATCGCTGATGGGATGGCATAGCAGGAGAGATATGGGGTGGCATAGAATAAGTGAAACCAATGGAGTGGCATAAAAGGAAGAAAAATGGTGGGCACAGGAGAGACACAGATCATGTGGCATAGGAGGGACACTGATGCAGTGGCAAAGGAGAGGCACATAATGAGGTGGTATGAAGGAATAGACATATGCAGTGGCATAGGAGAGACACTGATGGGATGGCATAGGAGAGGCACAGATGGGTGTGGTATACAAGGAGAGTCACTGATGGGGAGGCATAGAAGGAGAGACTGATAGGAGTGGCACAGAAAGAGGGTCACAGATGGGGTAACATAGTAGAAGAGACACTGGTGGGTGTGGCATAGAAAGAGAGACATGTGGGAATGGACATATATCTATTTCTAAAAGAGATGATTGCCACTAGATTAGCAGCAATAGGGATCCAGGAGCTGACAAATAAATACTAAAAGGATGTGAAAAAAATAGAAATATATAGAGAGTAATAAAAAATTAAAAGTATTATAGAGAACATAAAAAAGTAAAAGAGTGTTTGTGAATATACAAATATGTGTGGCAGGATTGTTAGTCCAGGTAGTGAAAAACTCTGGGTAACATCTATGCCAAATACTATACTAGACTAGTTCGAGAGAGTCCACACAGCGATAGAGTGAGAAGGTGAAGAGGCACGAGCACAGCAATCCGGCGATCGGTTTGGAGTTTGGAGTTCATCCTCCCCAACAGCACGATCTGGAGAGCAGTGTCGTTCCCCTCGAAGTGAGGCTCGAGGTGGAACGCACTGTGACACGCAAACCAACCTCACAGGTTACCAGCATCTGAATACTGTATGAGAAATCACCATCCACATCCATCCGTGCCGGCAGCAAAGGTCTCTGTACTATTTTTACCTTTTATCACCTATTGCCTTAATTGTGGACATATATTTTAATATATTTTTACATTTTTATATTTGTTTCAATAAACTGACTTTGATATTTTATCACTCTCTAGCGATATAGCTATTTTTTCTACATTGCTTTGAGCAGCCAGTTTTCTATATACTGGTGTCTGCTTATTATCATAGATCCATAATATATATGGTATTTTAGGCAGGCTGCATATTTTGAGGGAATGATGCCTGTTTATCTTTCTTACTCATGTTGTGTATGAAAGTATAGTATTTGGCATAGATTGATGTTACCCAGAGTTTTTCACTACCTGGACTAACAATCCTGCCACACATATTTGTATATTCACAAACACTCTTTTACTTTTTTATGTTCTCTATAATACTTTTAATTTTTTATTACTCTCTATATATTTCTATTTTTTTCACATCCTTTTAGTATTTATTTGTCAGCTCCTGGATCCCTATTGCTGCTAATCTAGTGGCAATCATCTCTTTTATATTGCTTCATAGGTTTTTTGGTGGACCCCTATTTTTATCCAGTTTAAGAGCTCTATTTATTAGGTCTTCTTCTCCCTCTATCCTTTTGTATATACTTTTATACAAAAACTATTTTTTATATATCTATTTCTATTCCATCCCTATATCCACTGAACAAAATTATAAATGCAACCCTTTTGTTTTTGCCCCCATTTTTCATGAGCTGAAATCAAAGATTTAAGACTTTTTCTATGGACACAAAAGGCATATTTCTCTCAAATATTGTTCACAAATCTGTCTAAATCTGTGTTCGTGAGCACTTCTCTTTTGCCAAGATAATCCATCCACCTTTTTTTTTTTTACAAACAAAATGCTAAGTTCAAGCCCTAAATAGCCATACTTGGGACTATAGCAGTACAATATTACAAATCCACTCTTTGGCCTTAACTTTGTAGTTTGGTTTCTAATTTGGTACACTGAATTCTTTAGGATAGCGAATAAACCACAGAGGGTTATTTACTAAACTGTGTAATGCAGTGCATTGAAATATTAATTGCAAAAATTACTGATTTGGTATAAATCTCCAATTCAGCATTGGCACGGCTTCACTAATTTAACGTACATTTTAAAATGTGGATTGTAATTCATTATATTGTTTAGTGAATAAACCCCCTGTGTATTTGTACATGTGTCCTTTGGCTATGATGCAGACAGGGCTGATCACAGACAGCCTGCAGCTGGCCTGGGTCTATTGCGTGAGCACCAGATAGTAGTTCCAATCTCCCCAAACTGCGCTTCAATCCCTCTATACAGCAAAATTAAATTTTAAGTAATTTTTTTTTAGTGATTTATGGAATTTTCCCCTTATGAATGTATTTTTATTTCCTATTCTGTCACTCCGTGTGATGTTATGCCTTGTGATGTCATGTCTTGTGATGTCACGCATATAATTAATTATGCAAATTAGGATGGCCAGTAATTTTCCCCAAGGAATGTTCAGAGTTTGACAAGTTAGTCTTATCCATTTAAAATATAGAACTAATAAATGTTTTGTGTGTCACCCTTGTAAAGCTTACATTTTACAGACTCCCGTCCCTGCATGTTATAATGCATCATTTCCACATTTCATAGACCTTGATAAATGTGTTATATAAAATAATATATATAAAATAACATAGCCCGTCCCTTATTTGTATCACTAATGCTCCAATTCTATAAATACCTTGCTTTTCTTACGTTCCAAGTGAGTAGAAATGTTAATCTGGATCAGCTTCCTTGCCTGTCTTCTCAGATCTTATATGGACTTGTTTACAAAAACCAAATGTGCTGTGATGTCAGTAGCAGGGACGGGTCTTCTTGTACGTGTTAAACACTCCTTTTGGATGTTTAAAATTGCAAGATTAAATATGGACGTTAAACATTTCCTTCCTGTGTGATTAGGTCAGTTTTAGATTTCCATTATTTCAAATCGTTCATGTTTTCTGATTATTATTTGTATTTTAACAGTAGTTAACACTACTTAATTTTGTTATTGCTCAATACTTGGCATGTAAAGCTCCTGTGAGGTTGTTTGTGTGTTTACATTTGTAATATTAACCCCTTCACTACCAAACAATTCACCAAAAAGCGACCATCAGAAGTGGTTTCCTGGAATGGAATGTTTAAATGCATTTTTCATTTCAGTGTGCATAGATAGTAAATTACGGTATGGAAATATAAACACATTGTCTAGGACAGGAAGCGTTAAAATTTATTTTCCTGAATAATGAAGTTACCAATAAGAAAACAGTACTACAAATAAATACTATTTCTGGATATGTGACATTTCCCACAAATGTTCCATAATCATCTCAATTATATATTATGCAATATGCGCACTTATTGGAAGGGCATGTTTGTGACTGACTGAAGGGAGATGACAGTATGTGGTAAGAGTAATTAAAGGAGGGGAGGGTGACTTTGTGTATGCGGTAGCTGTGTTTCTGTGTCCAGTCTCCCCCCAAAATATAATTACATTGTATTTTTTTATTTTTCTTGCCTCTCTACTTTATGACTGGTACTCTGGTGATCCCTTGGAGCTGGCCAGCTGTTCTTTATTGGTATTGGTGTGTGCATTGGCAGATGGTTATTGCAGCGCTAGTGCTTTAAGGGTTGACCTGGCTCTGCTGCCTTGGACTTCGAAGTGCATCAATTGCAATAAAATTCTTATGCAAAAATAAAAAACATATTTCACTTGCATTATCAAAAATCCTGTACATATAATTCTGGGGTATGGGTGCATAACCTGGAATTAGTGTATAAAAATGATAAGCACATATCCTGCTTGGTAAGGTTTATTCATGAAATAAACCCAAAAACTATAAAGGTGTTATGTGTGATATATGAAAAGAAATATTATAAAACTTTTATATTATAAATGTTTTTCTTGTTGACAGACGTTTCCTTATGTTTACATGAAATAAAACATTGTATAAACTGTGCTATTGAATGCTAACTCACGATATCCAGAGCCTATTATCTCTGGCTCAAAGGGAAAAGTAGATTGCATCTTATAAGGTTCCACTACATCTCTTCTTTTTCTGTGGATCGTTTTTGTAAAATAAAACTTAGAGGGAATATAAACAAGACTGCAAATAGTGCAAAACCTTTAATTACCTTTCTTATTGTACTGAATTAATGTGCACTCACATAAGAGACTCAAAGTTTTGGCTCTCACCTCCCACTTTTAGCAGTAAACTGAATCTGCAGGCAGTTACTTCTCAAACAAATATTTTATTGTAATCCATAGACAATAATACAAACAGGCATTACACCTTTTATTAAAACCAATATGGACATGTGATGAGTTTTTAGTTTTTTCATTCATGCCATGTTTTTTTTCAGTCTGTGTACTCCAGTTTGCTGTCTTCTGTGTTTGAAGGTTCCCCCCATCTGATGTAACCATATCCAATCCCTGCATCTCCATCCAGTCAACAGAGGTGCTTTTCTGTTGTATACCTTCCACATGAAGGGCCGGACTGGCCCACTGGGATACCGGGAAATTTCCTGGTGGGCCGTCGGCATCTGGGGCTGGGCAGGCAGCTAGCCAGTCCAGCCCTGCCGTAGAGGGAGCTCTTTTGGCGGACGCAGGGGGAGCTGGCTGTTTTGTCTCTGCTCCCCTGCCCCAGCGCGAAGCTTAATGAGACCGGGACCGGAATAGTCTGTCATGGTGTGTCTGTGTCATGGTGTGTGTGTCTGTGTCACGGTCTGTCTGTGTCATGGTGTGTGTCTGTCATGGTATGTGTGTTTTTACTCACCTTTTTTACCCCCATGTCGTGCTGGTCTCCCCTCGACTGGCCCTGCTTCTATGGCTGAGATCATCAAGCTTGATGATCTCAGTCAATCCGCACTGACACAGGAAGCACCTCTAGTGACCGTCTGAGTGTCTGTCACTAGGAAGCAATGTAAACACTGCCTTTTCTCTAAAAAGTCAGTGTTTACATTGAAAAGCCTGCAGGGACAGGCTATAGACACCAGAGCCACTACATTAAGCTGTGTGTGTGTGCGCGCCTGCTAGTGAGTGGGCTTGTGTGTTTGTGTGTGTGCCTGCTACTGAGTGAGCTTGTGTTTTTATGTCAATGACCTTATGTATATCAGTGAGATTGTTTGTTTGTCTATGAGGCTGTGTATCAATCAGCTTGTGTCAGTGAGATTGTCTGTGTCTGCATGTGAGTATGCTTACTGTATAATTAAAAATTTTACTCTGAAAGGACCAATATTTTATATTGGAAAAAGATATATATATATATATATATATATATATATATATATATATATATATATATATATATATATATATCATCTAGGGTGGCAAGACAAAGCCTTACATATTACATGCGACAATATATGGCGCAATGTATGAGGCTGATGTAGATTTATTTTTTTCCAGGGCTGCTTTGGAATCTTTTGTCTCATTCCACCTCCGCTCCTCAATCTTAATCATATTATTGTGTCTGCATCTAGTGGCAGTCCCATCTCACAGAAAACCATTGTGCCCCAACATTTGTAATCTTAAACTTACTTGCAGGGAGCAGTTCTATCACATGTAGGGTTGGAGTGGGTCAAAAATTTAGCCCGGGTAGTTAAAAGCAGAGCAGCCCACTAGGAGGGGCAAGGCAATGACAAGCTCACCCCCCTTCACATCGAAATGAGTATGTTTGTGTGATGCCCTTCAGTGAATCAAGCACTCTAGGATGGAGAAAATGTCCTGTTAGTTTTTTTTGCCATGCTAGCATATGTGTTTGTTAGTGACTTGTCTCTTGTATCCCTTTGTGGTTTCCATCCCCACATGACAGCTAACCTCCTTCCTCCCTCCTGTTTAGTCGGGTTGAGCCACAGAACGCAGTAGAGGAGCTAACCCTCCTGCTTGTCACCCAGACATTGTGTCCCCTGTGCCAGTGCACCCTAGGCATCTGCCTAGTTTGCTTAGTGTTTGCGCAGGCCCTGATCTTAACATATTTAAAACTTTAACCGGAAGCAAGGGGTGCCGATGACCAAAAATGTATTTTTAACTATAGTGTCAGGAATACACATTTGTATTCCTGACACTATAGTGTTTCTTTAACTGCACAAAACAAAGAAAACTGTAGGCATACATGTTTTATTTTTTTTATGCAATTTGGGATTTTAAATAGATCAAAAAAACGAATTCAAGCTATGAATCAATAGTTTCCTATGGGGAAAATCTAAAGCTGGATGTCCTCAAGCAGATTGTGAGAATGTCCAGTGTCAGTTACCGGACCAAAGGTCCGTTTGGATCCAGGATCCAGGTGTCAGGGTGGCGGTCCGGTGCCCGGGACCCAGACACTGTCCGGGCAGTGGTGCGAGGACCGGGACCCAGTATGCCTGATGTTCAGAATAGGAGTCACAGTGTGGAGGTGGATTAGCAGGGTCTGGTGCAGGGTAACCGCACGCCCCCTGGTGTTGAGCACCAGCGTTTGTGCAACCACATACCAGAACCCTGATTCAGCTTATGCGGATCCCAGGAACTAGGAGCAGGACATAAGCAGACATCCCAGGAGCTGAATATGGAGGCTCTGCAGCAGATTTGTATTCAGTACAGAAACAATTCAAGACTGGAGATAGGCCCCAAACATGAAAACAAGACAGAACTAGTAGAACCCAGAACCAGAGAAGGATAGGAAGCAGAACCCAGAACATGTACACAAGACATGAGGAAAACTAGAACAGGGCAGGACAGGACTGTACATGAACTGGGAATACAAGACAATATAAAACAAGACAAGAGATACAAGGTAAAACAAGAGGAGACATAACTAAGCACTATTTATGAAAAGTATGGGGGTTTAGTTACAGTATAGGATCATACATTGCATAAGCCTGCCACAACGCCAATGTACCCCATATTCGGCAGGTCCTACACTGCCTAAAGTTCGCTAAAAGAACCATACTAAAGAAGACATAAATAGCACTTACCTGCAAGAAAGGGCAGAAGCCTTGAGCAGCTGCCTGAAGGAACAGTGAAACAAAAAGGAATGATATAAAACAAACATTTAAATGAATCCAAGAGACTGGGAAATCCAGGGACGGAATATAAGAATGAACCCAGAAACCCAGCATAAAGAAAACCAGACAGAATAGAAGACCAGAAGCCATTGCCATGATCCGCAGCGAGGAACAGGATGTGACACCAGGTAGACAGCCACTGGAGGCAAACTTAGTGCTGCACTGTAAACATTGCAGCTTCTCCAAAACTGCAATGTTTTACACTGCAGCACTAAGTGCAATAGGACTACTGCACCCAGACCACTTCTAATTTCTGTAGATCTGTACAAATTTTCTGTGTGTTTCTTCCAGAGGACACCATTCAAAAAAAATGTCTTCCTATAATTTGTACCTTATATGGGTAGCCGGGATGACCGAAGGATTCTTAATTATGTTTTTGTTTCATATTTAACATTAAGAATAATGTACACATTTGCCCACAGTCTCAAAAAAAAAACAATGTACTAGTGCTGTCATGATGGGATATGTCCAAAGAACACAGGAGAAACAAATACCCCAATGCAGTAGACACCAATAGCAAACATTATATGAAGAAATGTCACCCATAGATTTTTCAAAATTATTTCTTTGCCCAATTTTTGGTGACATATACATTAATACTTCTTAAACACACAAACACACCCCCTCAATGACAGACACAATCTCACTGATTTGAAACACTCACACTGACAGACACACACACACACACTGACAGACACTCACCGCCAGACACACTGACACACTCTCAATAACAGAAACACAATTTCACTTTATAAAAACAACCTTTGACCTTCACCGCAATGTGAAATATGTCAAAATAAGCAATACTTATCTATAATAAGAACAGCTTCCCACGGATCACTTTCCAGGTAGCAATCTTAACACAACCATAGATATATACAAGACAAGTTTGTTGATCCGCACTCATAGGGAATCCTCAAAAATACATCAGGAAGAAATCATAATTTTTTTTTTTACATTTATTGAAGTAAAAAATGAAAATACATATGGCAAGATACTAGAAAAGCAGTCTTCATGTATGTTGTATTGGTCCAAGCATGTGAAAATGAAAACAAAAAAGAAGGTTATGAGTGATCAAAGTATAAAAAGTCCAAAACTTGAGCATAGGACCACCCACAGCTGTTGTACAGGGGGAACACCACCAAAGAAGCAGACCCTGAAGAAAGATTAGAAAAGCACTGGATGTGTTTCGCACCACTCCTGGTGCTTTCTCTACAACAGATATAAACACAAAAATGGCATATAGCTGATATGATCTAAAAAAGTTAAATAAACAAGACCGTGTACTACAATTAAATAAATGCACACACGGTGCAATAGATTGCACTCACAGGAATAGAAAATAGATAGCGCTCCACGGGTGCCTCTCCCAATGTAGATGGGGGAGGGGGGCTATTATGCCCTTCTGTTTACTCTGGAACAAACCAGAACTCCGGATAGTATGTAGCTTAGATAGCTTTTATTATGGCAATAAAAGTACTAATGTAATATGAAACAGTATGGCCCTACGTGATCTGTCCCAATAATAGGACTTGAGGGCACTATGTCAGGGTACCTATTGCTCATTCCTCTCCCTGCAACATATTTCTCTACATGAGTGCAGTTAGACACTAACTTCTCAAAGAGGACCCAATCAACCTCCAAATGGTTAGTTTGTAGGGTTATCTTTGTTTCACTGCTTGCATGAGCTCTTTCTTCCACATACCAAATATATACTAATCAACTACAACATTAAAACCTTTGACAGGTGAAGTGAATAACATTGATTATATTATTGCAATGGCACCTGTCAAGTAGTGGGATGTATTAGGCAGCAAGTAAACAGTTCTTGAATTTCATGTTTTGGTAGCAGGAAAAATTAGTGACTTTGACAAGGATCAAATAATGGCAAGAAAACTTGGTCAGAGCATCTCCAAAATGGCAAGTCTTGTGGGGTGATCTTGGTATGTATTTGTAAGTACTGTACAAAAGTGGTGCAAGGATGGACAACTGGTGTGAGGGTCATGGGCGCCTAAGGCTCATTGAGGCATTCAAGGATCAAAGACTGTACTGTAGCTCAAATCCTGAAAAGCTTAATGCTGGCCACGATAAAAAGGTGTTAGGACACATAGTGCATCAAAGTTTTTTGCTTATGGTGCTGCATAGCCGCAAAACAGTCAGAGTGCCCATGATGACCACTGGCCACCAATGAAAGCGCCTTCAATGTGGACGTGAGTATCAGAACTGGACCATGGAGCAATAAAAGGTTGCCTGATGGTCTGATGAATCACATTTTCTCTTAGATCAGGGGAATGGCCAGGTGTGTGGCAACAGGATTCACTATAGAAAGAAGGCAGGCCGGCAGAGACAGTGTTATGCTCAGGGCAATGTTCTGCTCGGAAAATGTGGGTCCTGACATTCATGTGAATGTTACTTTGATATCTACCTAGAAATTGTTGCAGACCATGTGCACCCCTTCATGGCAATGGTGTTCCCTGATGGCAGTGCAAAATCACTCAGGAATGGTTTGAGGAACGTGACAAAGAATTCAAGGTGTTGCCATTACCTCCGAATTCCCTAGATCTGAATCTGATTGAGCATCAGGGGGACGTGCTGGAAAAACAAATCCGATCCAACTCGCAACTTGTTCTGCTGGAAAACTATTTAACCACTTGCAAAAAAATATTTACTATTATTTTTCAGCTCACAACACTTATACTTGAATTGATACTTTATTTTATGGACACAGGAGTGGAGGGTAACAAAGAAGGGCACATGAGGGAAGGGAGAAACTGAAGAAGGGCACAGGAGGGTGACAAAAAACACAGAGGGGTTGGGGGAGAAAGAGGCCAGCCACACCAGTCTGCCAGCAACAGTAAATAAGTTGAGAAAAGCTAATTTGTCCTGGGTATGTATATTGTGAATAGTGGTCAAAGTGTTCGAGTGACATCATACATGTATACTGCACATGCGCAGCATGAGAACTGGTTGAAACTGCTGAAGTGATGCGGCTGCAATTGAAGGCCACCATTTCAACCGCTGTCGTGTCGCGTAATTATGCATTTGTGAAGTGTGTCACCAACATGAAAAGTTTGGAACACTCTGCTTTAAAGGATCTGCTGCTAATGTCTTTGTGTTGGATGCCACAGGACAAGTTCGGAGGTCTTGTGGAGTCCATGCCTCAATGCTTTAGATATGTTATGGCAGCACAAAGGGGGCCTACACGATACAAGGCAGGTGGTTTTAATGTTGTGGCCAAGTGTATTGTTTTGTAATATGCTAAAGCATCAAGCATCCATATCTACCCTTACTTGCCACACAACCCCAGCCATTGAGTTTTGTTAAAGTGACACTCTTGCTGAAGTGCTATATGTGTGAAGAGTCTGTCCTCATTTTTTTCATTTTACAAAAAGTGCAGATTTCAAGATAAATTGGCACTTTTATAAATTACATAGTTACATAGGCTGAAAAGAGACATGTGTCCATCAGGTTCAGCCTTCCTCACATTTGTTTTTTGCTGTTGATCCAAAAGAAGGCAAAAAAACCCCAGTTTGAAGCACTTCCAATTTTGACACTTCTTCAGGCAAAGAATTCCTCACCCTTATTGTTCTTACGGTAAAAAAGAACAAAAAACCTTTTCTTTGCTTTGACTAAATGGATTATGTTACACCCCCGGATTGTCAGTCAGACAACCGGTCTTGTTCTTTTCTGGTTGTTTAGTGGATCTAATCTCAAGAGGCAGCAATTGTCCAGATCACCTGCTTGCAGAGACTTTTTTGAGCTGCATTGGGAAGTCTGTGATTGGACAGCCACAGACAATCTGTGCTGGGGAAGAAGGGGAGAGTTTGCAAAGGCATCAGACAAGAGCTGTAGCTTTTGCAAGCTGTTTCTAGATATAACCAGAATAAAGAAAATATATAACTAAATGCTAGAACCTAATTTGGGAAAATGCATAAAACTATTTTAGGAAATCTTCATATTTTATACCCTTACAGTTTTTTAAATAAAAATATTCACAGGATTTTCACTAAAATGAGAATTTACTGGAGGCCAAAATAGCTCAAATTAAAACAGAATTGACTTGGAGAACCTTACAGAGTTATTTTGCCCAAACTTTTGAAATTCACGTTGAAACCACCTCTTTAGTGAATAAACCTGTTCGTAAAATAAAATGTACATTGCTCACTTATTGTAATGTGAGCTTCACACCCAAACACATCTCCTTGATCACAAGAAATCTATGGTTCTCCTCCCCAGTCCCGGACTTAGTCTCTTTGTGGCAATCACAAACGAAAGTAAAATATCTGTTAAATATAATTAAGATTTGCAAGTACACAAATGTTCTTTATTGGGAAAGATATATATAACAATAGGAAAACAGAAGATCAGTGACAGTGATAATTTTCAACAGACATAATAAACAGCTCTGCATTTATTTAATTAAGGAAGCTTTTAAAATGTTCCATAGAATAAAAACACATACTTTTAGAATACATCTATATTAAAAGTGATCATTTGTAAGAAAAATTAATTATAAAAACAGTCTGTATAACAATATTACATGTAAGCTTTATAAATATTACAAAACCAGTAGAGAACCAGAACCTAATAGGTTGTAAAGTTAGTCCTGCAGCCTGGGCAGCCACTGATAGTTACAGGATCGTATACTTGTTTGAGGATAATAATGAGATTTGTATAATCAATAGCTGAAGTTTATGCTTTTTTTTTTAAATCCCTGCATGTAGGCAATGACTCCATCCTTTTTCTGCTGCATTTAATTCCAAAGACATCTAACACTATAACCCAATTTCCTTTAAAGAGATATGCTGGGTGCAATCCAATCCCTGTATTGTACCATCAGTTTTGTTTTTTTGGAAACTGCAGTGGTTTACATAGCATGGTTAAGTCCACTTCTAGTGGCCGTCTACCAGCCACTAGGTGTCTCCCAAGCACTGACCAAGTGACACTCGTTTACATGATGCAGAAGCTTTACTATGAGAAGCTTTACAATTGATTCAATGCTTTACTATGAGAAAGCTGGGATGTGCATTACACATGTACATCAGGTCTCCGGTGCTCCTCTGTGAGAAGAATTGGATTGGATTGTCGTGCCAGAGGACATGCCTCCTCCATGACGTCATGGGAGGAGGAGTGATGAGCAGTGCTGAGGGTACCTTGTTGCTGGAAAAAGGTAAGTGAAAACCTTTTATTTGACTGACTAAGTATTATTAGGAAAAGGGGATTAAACTTCCATAACTAGGGAAAGTGACACTAAAGAATTGGGAAAACAGGTTTGTATTCCTAATGTTTTTGTTTTCCTTTATCTTAGTTTAGGGACCCAGAGGAGAATTTACTGATTATAATATGATCATTTGGTAGATTTTTCCCCCGTGTGGAAATACCTGATATTAGAAGATAAATGGTAAACTATTTAACCCTTTCAGTCTCTGTGTGTTAGTCGTCTTTGTATTTTTCCCTGCCACGACTAGTGCGCATTTATCCTTTTCAACAAGACATTGGTGAGATATGCCCCACTTAAATGATAACATTTACTAGGGATATGTCTGTCCCGAGAAGAGAAATGTGGTATTTTGTTTGATGCTGATGTCAAGGTTGCAGGTATGAAGTAGAATGGGTCCACTGATCTGGGAGTGATTCAGTTTGCAGAAGGTGTTTGTGTGAGGGGCTATATGTCTTTCATTGTATTAGATTTGTAATATACTATAATAATTTAATGCAGAATCATTGCTTCACGTTGGCTCCAAAAAGGAAACAGATTAAATCTAAAGAGTAAATGGATTCCGCTTTATCAGCTGAGGAGCTGCTAGTTTGCAGAAAAACAAATAGTAAAAAAGGTATTTCTATTTAATACGTCACAAAGCTAAAAAGTGCACATAAAATTAAAAGGGGTCATATGTAACATATAAAAGCTCCTTTACATATTTCTTAAAACATTAGTACAAACATTTTAATTATTTTTACAATTTTGCTTTCCCTAGATACCATCTCTGGTTAAAGCAGTAGGATCAGCAGCAGTTTTTTCTCCAGAATTTACCACTGGGGTTTGATAAATTATTATTGTCTAAAATGAAATATAAACAAAATTCTCTTAGTTGCAATGCAGTATATAATATATTCTGTAAAATCATTAACATTTCAACATTTATCTAAGAATATTCATATTGAAAGGGGCTTTCTAAGCTGCATAATTACTGCATCTAAGTGCAGTAGCTATACAAGCATTAATTTGAAGCTTCATTGTCAAACCATATGGAAGAGGTTTGCCAAAAATTCAGGGTTCTCACGGATGTGAGCGAGTGGCATTTCTGGAAGCTCAAATTAGAGATCTGGAGAGGCAAATTGTAACACTGAGGGAGATTGACAATCTTGAGAGGAGTCTGCTGCTCACTGAGCAGAGTTTAGTGGGGACAGGTAGTGGAGAGGGAGGAGATAAGACAGATGGGGAACAGGCACGTAGCTGGGTGACAGTGGGGCGAGAAAGCAGGGGGGGAGGGAAGAGAAAAGGTTTAGCTAGTCCTGATCTCATACAGCCTAACAGATTTGCGCGTTTTAGTGAAGATGTTGGGAGCATCAGCTCAGGAGTAGCTGTACTGCAGGAAGCTGTTCCTTCTAACAGCCGTGGGTACATCCCCTCTAGTACTGGTGGGGTTTAGAGGGTAAGGAAGTCTAGACAGGTTGTGGTGGTAGGGGACTATATTATTAAGAGAGCAGATAGGGTAATCTGCCACTCTGATCGACTCAACCGGACAGTTTGCTGTCTCCCGGGTGCTCGGGTCCGGCATGTTGCATACAGAGTGGAGGGATTATTTGGAGGGGCTGTCATGGTCCATATTGGTACCAATGACAAAGTCAGAGGAAAATGGAAGGTCATAAAGAATGAGTTCAGAGAACTAGGAAGTAAGCTAAAGAAAAGGACCTGCAAGGTAATTTTTTCAGAAATATTACCTGTGCGGCACGCTACAGCAGAAAGGCAGCGGGAGATTAGAGAGGTCAATGCGTGGCTAAAGTCTTGGTGCAGGAAAGAGGGTTTTGGGTTTTTAGAACACTGGGCTGATTTTGCGCTTGGGTACAACCTGTATTCATGATGGATTGCACCTAAACGGAAGAGGGTCTGCTGTGCTGGGGGATAGGATGGCTAGAAGGTTGGAGGAGATTTTTAACTAGTGGTGGGGGGTGAGGGTCAAAGCAATCTAGAAAATGGAGATAGGATGGAAAGGAGATGGGCTTTAGCTCAGAACAAAGGGGTGGAGATGGGGGGAGGGGAAAGCTCAGAACAGAGGAGGTATGTAATATTGATCATTCACAAAAAGTACAAAAGACTCATGATATTAAATGTATGCTTACTAATGCAAGGAGCCTATGTAACAAAATGGGGGAACTAGAGGCAATAGCATACACTAAACAGTATGATATAATAGGCATAACAGAAACATGGTGGGATGAGACACATGACTGGGCAGTTAATTTAAATGGGTACATGTTATTTAGGAAGGATAGGAAAAACAAGAAGGGTGGTGGGATATGTTTGTATGTCAAACATGATTTAAAGCCAAATGTTAAGCAAATGGAATGCGAGGAGGATAATGTGGAAGCTTTATGGGTAAATATCTGCTTGGGGGAAAAGAAGGGAAACCAACTATTGGTTGGGATATGTTATAAACTACCTAATGTTAATATTGACGAGGAACAACAGCTGTTTGAGCAAATTGAGAAAGCTGCAAATCGAGGTAACACGTTAATTATTGGAGATTTTAATTACCCATAAATTGGGATAGAGGGACTAGTACTTCAGCAAAGGGAATTAGGTTCTTGAATGTGCTCTATCCATAAGTGTCATTCCAATATTTTGGTTCCTTTAGGGAACATTTATTATTTTGTTCTCTTTAAGTTCAACCTGCGTAAAATAAATTTTTATACTTTTAACTTACCGTTTCATTATATGATGTTCGGCACACAGTTTTACATCCAAAAACAGATGTGGATATTGTGATACAAAACTCTGTTACTGTCATTATGAAAATGAATATCACTATTTTCATATTTATTCTCTGCAATAAGAAAGAAATGTTTAAAATCAAAGATATCTCTATCCTTGCCCCACTTTGTCACTAAATATTAATTTAAAAAAAAAAAGAGAGAGAATGAAAAAGATCATATATTTTGCATGCTTTAACCATTTAATGACCAATGTTTTTTGAGAATCTGTGTAATCAGGACAAAGGCATTTTTAGCACTTTTGATATGTCCCACTTTTATTTAACACTTTCTCATTTGGTGTACTTGTACATATTAAGGAAAATTGTTTCATACTTACCGTAATTTTCTTTTCCTGATAATTATTCATGGCAGCATTTACTCATGTTAGCTCCCCCCCTCACAGCAGGAAGGACAGGAAATAGAACTCTGAAACTGGTATAAATAGACCCTGCCCCTTCCCATCAGGCAGTCTTTGTAAGTAGCTTCACAACTCCTATAGTATATGGATGGGAACGTAAATGCTGCCATGAATAATGATCAGGAAAAGAAAATGACGGTAAGTATGAGGCAAATTTTCCTTTTTCCTGACCATTATTCATGGCAGCATTTACTCATGGGGAACACCCAAGCTGAATATATAGAGGGAGGGACAGAGTTAAAAAAAACAGCTAATAGTTATAAAAACCATTATTGAGCTGCATAAACCTTAGAAGACTTTAAAAAAGCCAAACCAGTAATCAATAGGATATTGTCATAAAATCTGCTCAGGCAAGTTAAAATCACCCTAGAGGCTGCTAGAGCAGCAACCCCCTGGCATTCAAATGTCTGAAATATCCTAAATAAATATAGAGCCAGATAGGAATTAAAGCCATGATAGCCAAGCCTAGAGAAGGAACAAGGCTAGACCAATACAAGACAAACTCTTGTAAGTAATAAGGAACCCAAAAAAGAATTGAGAACCTCCATGAAACTCAGACACTGTCTAGAAATTACAGATCTATTATGTCAACAGTAGAAGGTAATGTTCTTCTCTGATATAAAATTAAAAACCAATGGATTGCATCATCAAATTAGAACCTTGACAAAGGCATAACTTCCAGAGATCATACTGGAACAAGCAGATACTGTTGGATGAGAACAGACACACCATGCTATTAAACAGGGTGATAATGCTACTATTTTCTGGATGTATTTATTAAAGACGATTCACACTGCTCCCTCTTGCCTTGTGAACTACTTACCTGTAGATACAGGAAACAAATCAATATCTGCCTGTCAGAAAGAGGCAGAGCCTAGTAGAGAAATAAGAATCTGTTCTTAAAACACTGCAACAATGACTATATATATTGCAAAAATCTCACAACCATACCTCACACTGTAAATGAATTGATACAGTAATGATCAGTTACAGGAGAGGTAGAAACCAATAACATATTACTAGGCAAAGGCAAGAAGAAATCATACAGATTAGTTTAAAAAAAAAAAAAAATATATATATATATCGGTACGAACCATAACATTTGTGGCAACTACTAAATTATAAGTAGGCAATGTAGGTCAACCTCGTCAGTACCTATATTCAAATATAAACATATTGTAAATAGTACAGATTATGCCAAACAGTAGAATCAAAATGATTAGAGACTGTTGTGCGATATAAGTAGGAGATATGTAATAGGCAGGATACTGATGAGAAGGTGGTAACCAGAGGCACATGATACATTGTGGCAACAGACACATAAGCAGGATAGAAGATATTCAGTTATCCTTATGAGAACAAACAACCGTATACTTAGTCCGACCTTATCTTCAGTTAGTGATGAAGTACTTATGGCAGAGACTATGGTGATAACAAGATCATTTTGCAGCTTGTTTTATAAGGACACATAGAAGAATCCCCATGAATAACAGAGCAGAGGTCTGTACTGGAACTTCATGTTCAGGGATTTTCTTTATTGTTCTTGTAGCAGGTGAATTTTACCTGAAATAGTAAACCTGGTAGAATGGTCTGGCGACTAAAAAAGACCTTCTAAAGTAAAAAATATTTGCGATACCCAGCATCAAAGTTACATGGAGCATATGAGCCTAAAATAATACCTTTTATTGCAGAAAGGAAATTATAATGTTCCCCTTTACAACAGGGGAAAATGTGGGAAAGTCTGATCCTTAACCCCTTGAGAACCAAAAGCATGCTACTCCTGACCTATATGAAAGGGATTGCCAAACTCCAGGCCCCCAAGGGATGAAATGGCAGAATACTGAAAATAACAAATAGCACACATTCTCCAACTAAAAACTAAAGATTACGCTTTAAGGACATCTACTCTGTTCTAAAGAATATGTTAACCCAATTCCAGAGCATTGAGCTACAATCTGAATAAAAATTATAAACCAGACCAGGAGTAGTGAATTTTACAGAGTAGAAGCTTGCAGAAAATAAAATAATTGCTAAAGTTATGACCAGGTGAAAGAAAAAGCCAATATCAACAGCTTTTGAATCAGTTTTTAAGCTTTTGAATCAGTTAACCCCTCGAGGACCTATGACGGTTCAGGACCGTCATTGGTAACATACCCTTGAGGACCGGTGATGGCCCTGAACCGTCATAACGAAAAACAGGCGGTGCTCCCCATACACACACACACTGCCCCCCATACACACACTGCCGCCCCATACAAACACTGCCCCCCCATACACACACTGCCCCCCCCATACACACACACTGCTCCCCCATACACACATACTGCTCCCCCATACACACACACTCTAAATATATACACTATCCCCATACACACACACAGCCCCATACACTGCCGCCCCATACACACACATTGCCCACACACACACTGCAACTGTTACACACACATACTGTCCCACACATACACTGCATCCCTGACATACACTGCCGCCCTCACTCACACACTACAACCTTCAAACACACACACTGCTCACACACTGTCCCCCTCTCACACA